ATAATAGAGAGAGAGAGAGAGAGAATTGCAATATGGAAAGAAAGGTATATTATTGTATATTGGGAGCAAATACACTTGCATGTATAATACGGAAGAGTGCTAATTAGAGTTAGTTAGAGCTCTTTAATATCTCGACTATTAGATTTAAAAAATTTATATTGAAATTCTTATAGTTATGAAAATGTAACATTTAACTTTGTTTACTCTAACATCATCGGCTTTACCAAATAAAGATACAACACACGACAACACATGCATGAATGACATGAAAATGATGAGCAAAAAGATAATTACAATAGTGGTGATGGACGTTAGCACCATGGCGTTGAGAAATCACGGATAGACATCTCATGTGCAGCGGGAAACAAAAAAAAATAGATTTTCCAAAGTCAAGTACTTGGTAGTTGTGTGACGATTGGTGCGCGAGAAAACCACAAAATAAAAAAATCGTAGATATTATGTAAGAATTGTTACTTAGAGAGATCATATATCCCTGATATTTCTAAATCCGATGGAGAAGATGAAGGAGAACTCGTGTACTCCTCTTTAGCGGTGATCCACACAATAGACGCAGCAACGACGCTCCTCAGATCGCTGCGAGATCTCCCTCTTCACACGCACCACAAGACTACTAGAGCTAAGGATGAGAGGAGGCTAAAGAGAATAGGAGTGACCACTAAAAGTTTTAACCTATGAACCATGAGGTTCCCCTATTTATAGAGGTGCAAGCAACTTAACCCTTAATAGATCATATCCTTCTTGGATATTGGATCTCTATCCAATTTGATCTTATCCATAGGATCCAAACTAGGGACTCTACGGATATCTCATATCCGCACATCTACTCGTCGCAACATCCACCATATGTGTGTGACCCTCTAGACCCGATACCGAGCTGGTCGCGAGTCGATCCTGTTATAACTCTTTCTGACTCAGAACTCCTTCTGATATAGTGAATTATTATCTCCATAATAATTCACTCGACTCATCGACTATGAATGTACTAGGCTACTACATCATATTCCCCAAACGATATAAGGGATCTAATCCATCGGACCTGTCTATTCTCAATTACCATGTATCTATATTCACTCATCAATCTAATATCCCAAAGACCGTATATTGGGCATGGTAACATCATGCCCATACAGAATCCTGTTTGAGTCTCGCTCTAATTGGATTCTTCTGGAGAACTCCTTCTCTCTCAATCCGAACGATCCTAGTTAGGGATTTTGTTTAAGTGAGCACATACAGGATATTCCTCTCACCATACCGAGAGTGGATGATCCTCTATTGACACTCAATTGCCTTCGTAAGGTTGGTTGTCATTCCCGAGAACCGATTGTACTAAATCTAGAACTTTTAAACTTGTAAGTCCGACGTCAAAGAATGGAGTACTCATACAAGGCATCTTTGGTGTCTCAAGTCTAAGGACCAAACATACAACTGAGATTATACCTTTAGTGTCTCCAAACGATACAAGGTATCATTAACCATCCAGCATTCCGTAAGTGGATTAACAAGTGAACTCATTCTCCAATGAGCACCTGCACTGTACCTCTAGTGTCCCCACACAAGCGACTATGAGACTAGCCGCCTCCATCGTATGGATGAGTATACAACGCATTGATCTATCCAGTTATCTCGATGTCCTTCTCGAGTAACCTATGACTAGGATGATTTAGGGTTTGTGTTTAAAGGCGAATCGGTCTCATTATCGTGATCTCATCACGATTCGATTCTCATTGCACAGATCTAATGACATCATAATATACATCTAGATAATATGTGATAAAATGTCAGTAATAATAAGCAAAGAGATCATCGCAGCGTATCACATGTGTCATCACACACGTGATTGACTTGTAGGGCACATATAACTAACACATGGGTGGTTGTTATTGTGGTGGTCGGTATTGTTGATGTTGAAACATCGATGATAAGGTAGAGACATGATGCATCTGCATTTGTGCCACACCACTCTTATTTTTTTGTCCATCGTTTTCATGTCATTCATGCACGTGCTATCACATGTATCTTTCGTTAGTAAAGCCGACGACGTTAAGATAAATGAGATTAAATATTTCACTTTCATAACTATAAAAATTTTAATATAAATTTTTTAAATATAATGGTTAATATATAATTAATTTAGTAGAGGAAGAAGAGTGTGGACATATGTTCACCGATCAATTTAATTTAGTCCCTCTTTTCCCTAATATAATTAATGACCTACTAAAAAAAAGCTTCTTTGCTCGGCACACATCAGCATATTTCGCTTGAATACTTCCATGCATGCATCTGCCTCTCCATCTAAGTCTATCACGTACATACATAGATGCATGCATGCACACATCATTTACTCATCAAGTAGTGATGTCATGATCCTAAGTGACCATATATACTATTTTCTTAATGTATATTATCTCCACCATTAACAATTGAAGAATAAAAATATGTTAGATATTTTAAATATTTATATTTTATCAACTCAACTATGTAGTAGAGACCTTTAATATCTGGAGCGACATAGATTTTTCTAAGATTTGATATGTCAAAAAAAACTCTTTTCGAATAACACATCTTTAATTATATTACATTTGCATATATATATCAATAAACAACCCAAATAATCATCCACATACACATCAAATTCTTTTCTCCCCTCACATGACATAGTGGTTCAAGATCCATGTTTTTGACATATCCTTTTTTTTTTTCTTGTGTTTTTTACCTTGGTATAATCTTTACACATCACAAATTTATGTGCATAGATGCAACCCTCTGCATGAAGGATCAATTCTTTCCTCTTATTATATAAGCATATTGATAATGATTTTTGATAAGTTATCAAAAATCATTATCAAACACCTCTGATCTTGCCTTTTTAGGTAATATAGCAGATTTTTTTAAACAAAAAAAATAAAGAGTTGATGCATGCAAGCACTCAAAAAATCAAAATAATATTCCCAGTTATACAAAACCTACAACATGCAAATGTCAAAGCTACATTGCATATTTATTTTGAAGAGAAAGATGAGATAGATTCCTTGTCAGACATCCCAACTTACTGGCATTTATATTTCCTGTGGCTGCAGCTTCCCTCGGCATAATGGCATTCTGCAGCTGCAATCACTAAGAGGATAATGCTAAGAGAACAAAGTCATCATAATATGAGGAGGCTTTGATGGACACGAGGAAGGCAGAACTAAGAAGCAGAGATGTGCATGTGGCTGTGATTCTTCTGCGTGTCAAAGATACAGCCTTGTGTGTATCACAGCCAAAGCAGTAGAGAACAAACCTCTCCATGTCTCTTCTTAAGAACCTTCGCCTGTGACCTGTAGACTCTTGTCACCACATACCGGCAGCAACTGCAGAGCCAATGGGCATCTCCTCATCACTCCATCATCACAAGATGGCAAACAAGGTGCAGATTTGTAAGCCTCTCTTGGCCTTCCTCCATCTTCTTCTCTTCTCTTCTCTTTTGAATCCGTGGCAGTCTGTTTTTGAGTACTTTGTGATGGATTCTGCATCTCGTTTTCAGTTTGTGTATAGTCTTCTGCTTCAAATGGATGCATTACAACCTCAGAGTCCACAAGGAATTGGAACGGGAAAGGCAGCCATCGGCTTGTCCGGTGAAAGAGTTTTTGGGGGAAAGCCGGACAAGATCAATGGCCAGATCTTCCCACAAGAGGTATCTGTCATGCCTTTGTGTACATCCTGTCAAGAACTCAGCAATGTTTCTTTGCTGTTAGCTTAACTGAGTTCACCAATTGCTCTGAAGGATTTGTCTGGGAAAACAAGGGAACTCCACCAAGCCAAAGCAGACATTAGCAGACGAAATGAGACCAAGAATTCTGCACAAAGGGAGAGGGAAAGGGCAGAATCTGAATTATCTCAAGCGAGACTTATGGCGAAAGAATTGGCTTCCAGGATCGAGGAGTCCAATGCAAGGGCACGAGCTCAGAGATCCGAGCTCCAACCAATGAGGAAGATGGAGAAAAGCCAAGAGGATCTCGAGTATGACTCGGTGTTGCAGGAGCTGGATAAAGCGAAGAAGGAGCTGAGCAGACTGAAGCTCAATGTGGCCTCTGCCATGGAGGCGAAGACAAAAGCAGAGAAGGAATCTGAAGCCTGTAGCTCGAAAGCAATGGCTTATTCACGCTCCGTGGCGGAGCTGAAGAAGAAGGTAGATGAGGCCGACGAAGAGCATGTGCTGGTGGAGCTCGCTCGCATGGAAGCAGAAAGAGAATTCCGAGATACAGAAGCCCGGAGGGCGGCCGAGGCTGATCAGTTTGCTAAGAGCATCGAGATTGCCAAGAAGAGAATTAAGGAACTCCAAAGAGAACTCAATCGCTCGAAGGATCTCGAAATGAAGCTTAGGATAACCAATTCAGACGTGAATGTGTTGCAGGGTGAGATGGAATTAGTTCGAGCGATGGAGAGAAGCTATCAGACAGATCTTGCAAGCAAAGCTAACAAGAAAAGAGAAGAAGATTCTGATGCAAAAACTGCACTGGAATCAGCAGAAGCTGAATTAAAAGCAGCCAAACAGGAGTTGGCTACAATCAAGGAAGAAAGCTTTCAGTTCATGATCTCAATGGATCACATCAGAGAAGAACTGATGCGCACTGCAGCAGAGACCAGTGGGCTGAAGAAGTTAGAAAAGAGAGCTGAAACCAACATCCAACACCTCAATTCTAAGCTGTTAAAAGCCAAATCCAAGCTCGAAGCTGCAACAGTTGCCGAGGAAAGGACTAAAGCAATTGTTTCCAACCTATCAGCTGCCCTCCAACAAATGAAAACAGAAATAGAGACTTCAAAGAAGGAGAAACAGCTGATTGATGAAGAAACTAAAAGTATCAGGGATGAAATCGACATGACAGACTCAGGAATTAGATCAGCCGAGGAAAGATTATATACTTCCATGGAAGAGCTTGAAGCAGCCAAAGCATCAGAAGCTATGGCACTCAGGAAGTTGAGTAATGTAGCCCATAGGACCATGAGGAATAGAGCCTTATCAATACCACATAGCTCCACTGTGACCATCTCAAGAAGTGAGTTTGAGTATTTGGGTCAGCAAGCAGCTGCAGCTCAAGTGGTTGCAACAAAAAAGGTGGAGGCTGCTCAGGCATGGGTTGAAGCATTAGCAGCTGAAGAGAAGGAGATACTGATGAAGGCCGAGTTCATTGAAAAGGAGATCAAAAGGTCCAGAACAGGGGAAGTGATGGAGCTCCACAAGACACAGAAATCATCAGCTGTGGAAGAAGAGCCAAATGAACTGGGACACAGTGAAGAAGAAGAGGAGAGTGCTGTGCCTGCCAAACCAAGAAAATCCACTAGAGAAAATGGGATGGCAGCATCATCAAGAAGAATCACAGTCAGAAGGCTTTCAACCTCATCTGCAACCCGAAATGCTCGCTCCCCATCGTTTACCATCAAGAAGAGAAAGAAGGTAATGCCCAATCTACTCAAGTTTCTTGGTGACAGGAGAAACAGGAAGCAGAAGGTATAGTTGTGCAGTGTGTGAAGAAAGCATGTTGGTAAAATAAGAAGAACCATATGTAATTGTTTCTGTTGTTTTGTATTTTGACTTTTTGTTTTCTTCTTGTCAAACTCCATAAGTGCCAAATCTTGGAGAACATATTATTGACTACAGAAAGAGGAATGCCTAAACCATGTTGTTGTTAGACCAGTTTTCCTATTTGTTTTCATGTTCTTGCAGAGACGAGCATTTCAGTAATAGATGAGGAATAAACTATCAGCATAAATAAACAGTTCTTTCACATGAATAAATTTGGAAGACGATGAATATCAGAATTACAGCATACAAAGAAGTGAGTAAACATAATCATAAAATAAACAAATTACAAACTAATAAAAGAAATGAAATAGATATACTAATGCTGATAGGTGCTTACAATTTACATATTGCTAATACTGCCATGTGTGAAATGGAAGTGTTATGTGGTTTAAATAAATTGACCATGTTAGAAGAATGATATATAGTTAAAACACAAGTGGATTCTATATAAATCTATTTTTGCACATATATGTGTACTAATTTGGCTCTTTATAGCATTGATGCAACCATACCTCATTCAAACTCCATGATAGAAACTTCAGTTAGTCAAGAAAAAACAATGAATTGTAATTCTATAACATCCAATGATAAGAAACAAGGTGAAGCTTGTCTAACCAGAATCAGAGACCTAGAAATGCCAAAATTCTATCAGAAGCTAAACATAAAATACAAAAGAATGAATACATTGTCTACCTTAGGGCAGAAAATTACGTACAGGAGATGAACAAAGGATGGAACCTGCCTCAATAAACTGCATCACTAAGTTCTAGGAACAGAAGTCTTGCTAACAGGACAAACATTGTTCTGTAGAAGCCACTGTTTAATGCAAAATACATGATAGCTATGACCACAATCCAGCTCTCCAATTTCATCATTAGCTTCATATTCTTCCTGTACCAAAAAGAATAGGAAAATTAAACAACTGCATTGAAAAAAATAGAAAATAAAAGTAGTTTCCAATAGCTAAAAAAAGTACTTACTTGACAAATGCTGCATTTTCCATCTATTTCAGTCGAGAAGAATCTTTTTAAAGCATAAAAAAATGAGTGTTTAACTTTCCTTAGACTGCCTATAATCTCTTCCTCTTTCAGCCCAGTGCTCACATGCCCAATTCTATCCCCCAGCTCAAGTAGCTCCTGTTTGAGTGGAAGAAACGGGAAGCAAATACTCTCAATGATACATAAAAAGAAAATGAAAAACAAAGCCATGTATAGAAGAAAATTAAGCACCTCATAAGACATATTATCAACATTGAGTTGCCAATCTCTGTATTGGTCGTACAGGTCCATTCTTCCTAGCAAGATTCTTCTCTGGAACATCAAGATCTGCAATGTACGGCAAATCTGAGTGGGTGATCTATTAACGTCAGTTGATCACTGGTTTCCCAGCTGGTACATAAAGAAATGCCCATATGTAAAACAACCTGAAGTCCATGTTCTATAACTTTGTAAAAAAATATACAAAAAGAACTTGTTTATCACACATACATAAAACACATTTCTCCATCTCTAAAGCCTGTTTTCCTTATCAGTTTTAAACATTATGCTTTTTACGCTAATGAAAGCAAGACACTGATACTAGATGTATGGATCAAGATTGGACAAATAAATGACCTGTAGTTCTTGGACTCAAAAATGGCCTGCAGTCCACAACATATTATTAGAATCAGATGGCGATACCATTAGGCCTCTAGAAAAAATCGAGATTTATCTTTTTCCTATGTAAACAATTTAACATGCACAAGCCGCTAGCGATATAGGGTTTTCTATTAGATATTTGTTTGGTGAAAAGCACTGATTAATCGATGCTATGGATTAATTTTGGTGATCCACTCTAAAGTGTTGAAGGAAGTTTGAGAAGCCATCCTTTGCCTCTACCTTCATATAATCAAGCATTCAGCCACATAAGACACCCAAAGTAACATTTGAGGAAGCGAATAAAGTAAAAGATATTACAGAGACGGGAAATGTATGGATAGACAAAATAGGAATAAAACAGAAAAGAAACAGCAATTTGTGTCCTATGTAATCCCAATTCTTGATCTTCCCTTGTATCATATATCTCATAACCCACATTGTCATATCCTTTCCTTATTACCCAAGTACCATTCTGGTGACCAAAGTTTTAGTATCCTTTTTGGCAAGAAGTGATCACTTTATGCAAGATAGATATAACAAACCTCCTATCCCACAACTTCACAGTTTGTAAAAACTGAATTTCCTCTCATCCCCTTTCATCTAAAGATTCTCGACTCCATTGCTGCAGGGAGACCAATGATATGTAAATGGGGTCAGAGATGAATTATCTTATGTCCCAGCACCTCTGTTCCTAATGTATAAACTTTATTATTATCTATAGTGGCATTGTTGCATTGACAGGAATGTCATAGTATGATATGAGCACATATCATATAGGTAGGGCCAAACAAGATATATCAATAAGTAGGCAATTAAAAAGTAAATCTACATTTTATAATGATGTACATCATTTTCATAGACATGAACTGAAATTTGTGTAATTTTTTCACTAGTCAGTCCATACATGAATACATATCCAACCATCTGATACATGAAGGACAAAACAGAATATATTGATACTTTGATAGGTAAAAAATAGACTTAATCTGCAATTTAAAAATGAGGTGCATCATTGTCGTAGCCTTGAACTGAAATTCGAGTAACTATTTCATTTGTCAATCCATATATAGGAAATGAAATCCAGTCCACGTTATTTATTGGAGAATTTTAAAATTAGAAAAAGCTATACAGAAACAAATAAAACCTGGTCCATCCATATTTGATATTCAATGATCTCCTATGGAAGTAAGATCTCAACAAAGGGTTGAGATTTGCTGCTGTACTCATCTAAATTGACATGAATGACAACTTCGTAGCTTTCAAGTGTAGGAAAAAGCAGTGAGACTGACTTTAAAGACTAGCAACAAATGTTCATACTGTTTGCAAGTCTTTAAATATAACTTATAGGATACACCAGACACCTCTAGAATACTCAAGTAACTATATTTAAGTAGATTCAGTCTCAATGACCAATATAAATTCAAGAATACTGAACTTCTAGCATTGAATAACTCAATCAACTCAAAATATGTTCCACTGTGAACTGTACCAAACAATTAGACAAATGTGTATCATTTAGTTCTAGTTCAACACTAGAACAAAGGCATAAGATAACAACAAATTGAGCAACTAATAGCAAGTTATAAAGCTAGACACAAGGCAATGTACATTAGCTCATTACCTCCTCAAGACGACTAGGAGTTTGGCGATACATTGGCAAGTTGTGAAGATGCCCCGATGACAGAAGATCATGTCCAAACAAAGGTGCATCGAGTTCCAAGGAAGAATCCATGAAGGCTGAGGTATGTTCCTGGTGAACTCCACTTATAGGCAAGTGTGGCGTCAGCCAAAGGAAAGCATCCAAACTATTAGAAAGAGAACTTTTTTTAATACCCAATTAACCTCCTTTATGCAATGAATACGTATATTTCTGATAGAAGGAATCAATGACTTCAGTGTGAAAGGAGAATTACAATACAAATTCAAACTTTTAAGAAAAAGAATTAACACAAAGAAAGAAGAAACGACAAAAAACTAGAAATCAAAAGAACCGACGAAAGATTCACCACCTCTGAATGAGTCCTGTCGGCGGCATCCGGCCGCCCGCTCCCCGCCAACCGACGGTACGATACAACACAGTCCACCGACGCCTCGGAGGCAAATGGAACACGAGGCGCGCACCAGACGTCGCCGCCATCACGACTCCGCCTCTCCTCCTTCCGCTTCGCCTTCCCCCGCGGCCGGTTACGCTGCCAGTCCGAATAAGACCTCGCGGACGCCGCGGCTGGCGCGTACGCCTGCGACGCCTCCTCCGAGGCGCCACCGACGCGAAACGCCCCTCCTTCTTCCTGGCCATGGGCAGCGGGGAAGAGATCAGAGGGTTCCGGTCGGCGAGGAATGGCTTCGAGGAGCTGCGGAGGAGGTGGAGGAGGCTGTGGCGGACCGGTGACAGCGAGGCGCCGTTGCCGGAGGCCATGAAATGGAAATGGATACGAGAAGAGGGAGTTCGAAATAAATAAATTACGGGCGAATTCTCTGAAAAAAAACTTTTCGAAATCTTCTACCGAGCGCTCGTCCTTTAAAAAATTTCGAAACATGCTCCTCCCACCTCTTCCCTTTGCCTTGAACAGTCACTCGCAGCCCTTGCACAAGGGCCCGTCGCCCGCAGCTCTCGCCGTCGTTGCGCGCAAACCTGTCCCCTCCCTTCCCCACAGCCCTCGTCGTCGCTCGCAGACCTGCTCATAGCCCTCGCTGTCGGTTGTAGGAGATGGAAGGGGGCACGGCGCGTCGTCGATCGCAAGTGACAAAGGAGAGTAGGTGGCTGCGTGCCCTCGTCGTCGCCAGCAAGTCCCCCTCGCGCCGTTAACCACAGGCGACGAAGGAGAGGGGGCAGTCGCACGCCCTCGTCGCCGGTCGCAAGGGACGAGCGGGGGGCGGGAGGTTCGCTGTCGACCGCAAGGGAGGAAGGAGAAGCGGATGCACGCCTTCGCTGTCGCCGCCTCGTGCGAGGGTAGCAGGTGAGGCGTGCAGCGGCTGGGCCGACGGGGTCACGGCGGCGGCCCTCGCGGGAGGCGGCGGGTCCGACGAAAAAAGAGGCAAAATGATTTTTTCACATGCCTCACAAAAGGATGCTCTGCAAAAAAATTCAAAAAAAAGATGTTTTTTTTCTGATAATTCGCCCATAAAGTAAGATGAATTAAAATAAATAAATAGGCCATTTTTATTATCTAACTAAGAGGCTGTCGGATCTGGTGCGATGCCTTCCGAGCAAAAAAGTTTATAGTCCAATAAAAAAGTTCCACGTTTCATCATAAGCGACTCAATGCGATGGAACGCGCCATCTATTGATATTTCTGTTATTAGTAATGGATTAGATCCGGAGGACGGAGCGGAGGAAATGGGAGGGAGAACGGGCAGTCAAAATGTCGTTTGACTCCTGCTTTTGCTTTATTTTTACTTTTTTACCAGGAAAGAGAGATTGTGACAGTAACGTTACAGCGAGTGTGAACCGTTATGATCATTATATCGTTATCATCAATCCCGCAATAGCATGGTTTTTTTGTTATATTATTTATTATTACTATTAAAACGGATCACCGTAACGGGTCATAGGAAAAGTACTTTCGAAGACGATCACTACTGCTTATAATTATTTTTAGAGCAGCTACGCATTACTTACTACCTTCAATAAATCAAGCAATCTTGGATGATTATTCAAAGATAATTAACACAAAAGAATCGTATACATATTTATTTTAAGATAATTTCATCTCCACTTTCTTGCCTCTCACTCTACCATTTATTATTTTCTCCCCTTTCTCTCCTTGTCATCTTCCTCTGGCTGTTCTTTGAAGCATCTCCGTTTCTTTTCATGGTGAAAAGCAATTTTCTATCTTCCATCTGATATGATTGGTGAGAGAGATGCTTGAAGAATTGGATGAAGCATGAGTAGCTGACAGAGTACTCCAGGAATCTCTCTCCGAGAGAGAGAGACTATTCAAATGGCCCTTCTTGGCATGCGGAAATTGTGGGCGACTGCAGCAGCACCTCAAAGAGCAAGAAAGACATCATGATTTGCATGCCAATCAACTGCGGAGTGGCTTTAATGTGCATCGCTCAATGAAAAGCCACAAAGTTTGATGCCTTGGCCTGCAAAGATGCGTGTGTAAAGGCCATCAGAACTACAAGGTTTGCCATGGTGCATCACACCTCACGAAACTCATCGGTGCTGATGCCTAGCAATCCACGCACTGCGTTCGTCACACCTCAGGAGAAAGACACAAGCTTTGGATTGCCGTTGCCAACAAATGTTAGTGGCACATCATGCCAGAGAGCACAGAACCTGATGCCTTTGAACGAGGCACACAATTCCCTCGCCTAATTGGCACATGGATGAAGCTTTGAACAAAAGAAAGCTTGCCTGGGAAAAATGGAGTTGGAATGCTGTTCCTCGTGCCACCAATAATAAGCAGTCGTCTTCCTTTAAGCATGGTTGGGTGCCCCACTATTTTGGAGGAGGAACAAACAGCGTGTGTGTGTATATATATATATATATATATATGTACACAGAGCCTGCAGCCAAGCCAAGCTATGAGGAGGGAGGAGAAAAAGGATGACAGCAGAGGCTTCTGGGAGAGGCTGCTCTGCTGCATCTGCGATGCGGTGGAGGCAGCAACAGAAGGAGAGTTTCCACAATCAAAACCCAGCTACCCGCCACCAAAGAAGCAACCTAGCGACGCAAAGAAACCGGAGGACAGCCAAGGCACCAAAGCTTCCGACGACCACCCACCTCCTGCAATTGGCACCTTGAACATGACACTGTCGATCTGTGAGGCAACACATCACACATCTTCCATAAGATTACATAACAGATCATTAACTAGAAATGCTTCTCGATTGATATTGCTTTTTAGCTTTACAGCACCAGCTTGAGCAAAATTACCACACAAATCATAATGGTTTTGTTAACAATACTGATGAAGGAAAATAATCCAACATAAAGATTCTTCTTCTCCTCCAAAATTTCTCTTCAAATGAAATTAAACCAGTGGTAGGAAGTGAATCAATCAATGCCCTGAGTTGGCACCTTCCTTGCTTAGGATGCATCACTCCATATCTTGTGAAGGACATGTTCCTTTCCCCCACGATAGTTTTTAGTCATCTATAAGCATGTCGTGCATGTGGATCCCCGGAGGAGACAACTCTGCTCATTCTTTTCTCTCGGTGCAAGTTTTGAATATGATTGTGCTTTAACCTGTGATATCTTATACATGCATGCACTACAAAAGACAGTCTACAGGAGATTTCAATCCACTCCAAGGACAACATCAAACATGTCACTGTGTGACCAAAGCCATTTCTGAACCTTCATCTTAGAGTACTCACTGATATGCTTGATCGGTGTCTTCGTGACACTTTCTGACGCACACATCTTGATCTCTAGCCTTTCCCAATAAGCAATTAGAGTCGACGACATCACTGAAGGCATCTTTTATAGCTGACAAAGGCGAGGACGAGCAAGCAAAGCCGCCAGCAACAAAGGAATCCCCAGATGGACGGACCAAGCAGAATGGAACGCAGCCTACAGCGGCGAAGGTGAGAATGTTACCATAAAATAGTTACGAAATAAATTAAATATTAGAATCTGAAATCAAATAGCAATAGATAAAAGTTAGAAGGTGTGTCTTTTTTATATCATTCAAAATATCTTTATTTGATTTGCACTTCATAGTTCTATCCGTAGAACATAATATTCAAAGTGAATTAGATTCGTATTCTTATTTTTCTTATTATATGATCATTATGAGTAAAAAGAGATGAAAATAAACCAATAATATCAATAATGTTCTAGAAGACGAGAGCAAAATGTGGCAAGTGATCAAAACATTCCATCCCATCAAATGCCATATTTTATTTTTATTATCTATTATCTTATAATTCAATGAAAATTATAATATATCTTATCTAATTAAACAGAATCACATTTAAAACAGGAAAACCAACGCCAAGAAAGTCAGCACAAACAAGACGGCGGACAGCCTCAGGGGAATAATTAGATGGAGTGCTCAAGCTGCCCGTCGGTGGTCACACAGGAAGCTTTGCTGCGTGGGTTATTCGTCTCACGGTTACTGTTTCCACGAAAAGAATGTAATTACTAAGCTGATGGCAGGCAAGAAGATCGAACCTGTCATCCTTTCATGGCTTGATTTGGTTTCTGCCCATCGCTTGTCGAAATAAAAGCTGTAGCTGGAATAACTGTTGATCATGGAAGAGATAAAATAAGCTCTGGCTTGCTGATCTCCTTTTAACATCTGAAGTCTTTGCTTTCCATTCGTAATTCCTATTATTTGGTCCAAAAGAACTCAGCTATGACATAACATATCACTTCTCTTCCAAGTTTTTGGCCAGTTTAATTCTGCACCTAATCATATAAAACCACAAACAAATCAACATGGAGTTTCACATGAAAACACACACAATATTTATGCTTCTTTTGCCTCATTGGACTGTGCAAAGGCTTCGGTAGCTTCTCTTTTATAACATCCGCGAAAACCTATACTTCTAATTTCCTCTCTACAACATGCAAATCTACATGGATATATATAGCCAACTCGCTGCATATGAACCTTTAGCCTTGTCCTTGCCAATGGCTAAGCACATAGGGCAAGTCTAAGGACAAACAACAATGGACAGATCCATCAAGAACTCCAAAAGAACAGTCAGATGATGTTGTATTGGTTCTGGTGTTCGAGCACTGAGTTGGAGGACGGGAATGGCAGAGAAGGATGAGTCCCATTTCGTGGTTCATTCACCACAGGATGAGTTGCAGCTGCAACTCCATAACCGGGTGGCGGAATCCATATGCCTCCGAGAACCACAAGCTGGGGAACTCCAGCGCTAGGGTTTTCCACTGCGGTGCTTCTTCTTCTTCTTGCATGAAGCCGGTATTTCTGAAACATGTGTAGATTAGCTTTGCTGCACCATAATACACAAGACTTCATGTAGCAGAGCAAGTTTGAGGAACAGGCAATGCCAGAACTATCTTAAACATGAAGATGCTGGAGCATGCAATCTTTGTCTTCCATTCTCAAATGTGTGTCTCAACATAATGTTTTGCATCAAGCTAATCAGAATCATGAACTAGACAAGAGTGATTAATCCTGCTGTTGGGCCTCAAAGACCTGCATCCATGGTTGCTTCATGAAACTTAACATCGACGATTATGAATCTAATTTGCACTCATGTCAGGTTGGGAGACAACCTCATTACCAAGAGAAACAATCAAGCATAAATCGAAAAAACAAACACAATATTTACTTTGTTCGACACTCGTTACACTCTCTTGTAAGCCCTAAAGAATACCTAGTGAATTTATAAAATAACTAATAATTTCTTTCGTTCAAAAAGAATTATTTTTACAAATAGATTTCTTATTATACTGATGAGTTAGTCATTTGTTGTGTACCTATATATCATGTAATTTGGGAATTAGTTTTTGGCAAAGCTCTATCTATAGCTAAGAGAAGAAAAAGTTGAGCTACATATATTTGTATTGTCTAAACTTGAATTTTCAGAAGGTAGTATTTGTTGTATACTCATCATGATAATGATATGACCAACTTAGCATACTCTTTGTAGGATCGTTTGAATATTATATCTAGTGGTCAAAAAAATCCTCTTTTTGGTTTCTTTAAATATTAGCTTGAAGCAAGTACCTTTAATAAAAAAAAGCATGTAATGAAAAGATTATTACTAATACAAGTTTTGTTTTGGTTGAGAGTAGGTGGATGTATGATATTGTCACATTTATATTTTCATTTTGTAATTTTTTTGGCATCATAGTGTATCCTTTGATACTCAACTATTGCAAGTAGCATATCCAATTTAAGTTTTTTTTTTATCAATAGTCATATTCATATTTGATTGAGAATATAAAATTAGTTAGTCATCATTCGTCATATCAATGTCACGTAAGGCTCATAGGAAAAGAAAAGCTCAGGAAGCTCAACACACCCTCCTACCCACGTAGATAGGAGTCCAAAAGATAGCTTGGGTCAGTTATCAAGCTATCGAATTGCCTCCCCTTCAAGGGTAGCTCGGATCAATTACAAACTACCTCCACCGTGGAATACTCATATGAATATTCCTGTAAGTTTAGGGACAACTTGGGTCGGTTACAAATTACTTCTCCCACAAAATCTTTATGGGTTATTCCTACTCCTCAAAGTCAATATAAAAATGCATCCTTAATTCCATATTAAGAAACGAGGGACCTCGGTATTAACTTAAGCATCGGCGGAATCAGTTCGAGAATCAACCCTCGACCTTGATCTTTATACAGATAACGAGTCTAGAGAGATCATGCTATATTTCATATGACTCCTCACATACGTATCAAGGCTACATTATGTTTAATTTATCATACAAAAATATCAATGATATTTTTTCCTAACAATATCCTTGTTTAATTTATCATACATCAAATTTATATATCCTTTTAAACAAATGACAAAACTATGGATATATCTCCCATTTTTTTATTTAGCATTATATATTTAACAATAGCATAGCTATATACAATTCCTGCATCTTGGTTAATCTTCAATAGCAATTGTAAGTTAACAGTTAGTTGAAACCCTAATTTAGATTAATACCTTTAAAAACTCATTATAGTACACAAAATATCATGGATATTTAAGTATTTTATATAGTAATATGAAATCAAATAAATTAATGATATTTAGAAGTTGTCACCCCAAGTTTTATGCGCCCTAAGTAGTGGTATATGTGGAGCATTTTGACATTTGGTAGAATGTATATTGTATATATGCCATTTCCAATTTCAAGGACATATATATAGATATGTGTGTGTAAAAAACCCTCCACAAAATTTTCTGCCAAAGAAAAAAAAAAGCATCCACAGCTTGTGTGCATGTCAAAATTTATGTCAATAATAGGTTTTATTTCTAAAATCATTTATTGTTTATTTTGAAGGACTCATATGTTCTTATTTTCGCATTAAACTTAACTTTGTTCTTCTTATGGAAATCTCGGATTTGTGTCTGTCGGATTCAGAAAACGTTCAAATTGGCACACCAACACAACTTCTAGCATATAGCAAGACTTCGTAGTACAGAAAGATGACATGGGAAACTATCAATTCATAGAAGAGAACATGATCCGCTCACCTGTAAATGACTCTTGACTTCATCGTTTGTGAGCCCATCCACCTTCATCAGCTCCCGTATGTGCTTTGGCTTCGCTGCTGCAACCAGCCGTCCAACATTTAGCAGCATTCAAGAAGAAAAAGATGAGGGTACTGAGTTGGCTTGTCTCACCATGGCAGCCTCCGAGCTGCTGAAGCGCGTCCAAGAACCGCTTGTGCAGGTCCTCCGACCACCATCGCCTCGTCTTCCCCTGAGAAGCAGACTTCTTCTTGTCCTCTCCATCTCCACCTTTACCTTCCCCTCCTTCACTGCCCAAGTCATCTTCTTTGTCACCGGGGTGGGCATCTTCCCTGACCTTCCTTGCCTCGACCGCTACCGGCTTTCGAACTCGATCCTGTGTGGTATATGTATTATATACACTATAGGTTTCATCTTGGATGCATGAGATCATGAAGCCAATGGCCTTATCGTATATCATTACTTTCTCTGGGACTGGATCTGGATCTTTGTTCTCTTCCGAAGCACCAGAGCATGGCTTTAAGGATATGAATTCTTTTAGGACAGTCTCATTACTTGTTCTCACGGTGTCCTCCATCATCATCAGTTGCATGTAGTTTTCGATCGCTGCACAATCGAACCAAGAAACATGAGATCGAATTGAGTCGGTCATGCCGAGGAATCAAAAGAAACACTTCAAGAAAAGAACTCGAGAAGAAGAGTGACGATGTAACTTTGGTCAATGAGATGCAAACAGAGAGGCAGCTCCCGCCGGAAGACCTGTATCTTCCTGCGCTCCTCCTTGAGCGCATCGATGAGTTCGTCATACCAAAACGCCTTCTCCGATCGATCATCCATCGATAGGGATGAGGAACGAGGAGAAGAACAAACAAGGAATTAAGAGCTCACAGATTCAACCAAGAGGCAACAGCTGCTGAAGACGCAGTAGGTGAGAGAAGAGAGACAGAGAGAGAGAGAGAGACACGAGTTGAGGTGATGGAGAGCTCGGTGAGGTAAGAGATAGGCGTGGGAGCGAAGTCGGACCGTCGCATACCCAGCCAGATCAAACGCTCCATTTGACGGGCTTTGAATATTGGAAACAGTTCGGGCGTCAGGTCGGTCGACAGGATAAGATCGAAGATTTCGAAGACAAATCATAGAATATACATACATCGCGACATATCTCTCTCGTCAAATCTAACACAGGGTTGACTGCTGCAGGAAATCCTTCACTCGTGAGCGCGGTTCTCGCGCCGGGATGGCTGTAAGATTCTCACGAAGCTGTACGAACCTGTTAAGATAAAAAGTGTTTGTGTATGGCAGCTCGTCATTTCCATGCGCGACAAGCTTTTTATTCTCTCTCGTCCTCCTGCTGGTTTGGCCTTTGGAGATCGCAAGGGACACCGCCGTTACCCACAGAAAGCTCCAAATCAAGGTCTCATTCGTGTCGGTAACACATCACAGTACTCATATCTCGTGCCCAGTTAATTAAGATTAATAATTAAGGAAAATATTAAAGTCAAAGCCAATCTTCAAACGTATATCCATACTCTGCTGGCGAAAGGACAGCACTTGCAGAATTCTTTGGAAGATTCATGAACATTTCTTGAGGTTTTACATATATAGGATCTTTTTGTGTGTGAAGTAAATCTCCAAATGAAATAATTTTTTTCTACGTTATTATCAAGTAATATGGATTTTGATGCTCATCATCGCAATCTTTGCAATTTAAATTTGACACTATAAAGCTTTTCATAATGTATTTTAGACATGTTTTAATTTTGTTCTTGTTTTTTACTTTTATAAAATTATGCAAGTAGGTTTGGTGATATCTATTTAATATCTTGATCTTCCTATTTCGAATTTGTTAAAATATGATAGTGAATAATTTTATGAGTTTAGGATTTTCTAAAAAAATATTTTGGATATATAAGTATACAAATTTAATATTTTTGGAAGTAGATAAGTCTTAATAAATAATATGTGCTTATTTATATTTTCTTTTTCGCGGTTGTTCACTTGCTATATAAATCCTTAAAACATTGCATGTCGAATGTTTCCAGGGAGAAACAGCTCAAGCTCACCAACCAGTACGGCACCGCCGGCGGCGGCCACCACCACCAGTACACTACCAGCACAGTCTGCTTCTCTTCCTGATCGCCGTCGCCCATGTTTCCTCCTCCTTCCCGCGGTCGCCGGATATCGCGGCGCACCAGGTGCCCATCCTGGTGCAGGTGTGCGAGGAGGTGGAGGCGGGACAGAGGGCGTGGGCGCAGCGACGGAAGGAGGCGGCGCGGCGGCTGAACCGGCTGGAGCAGCAGATGGAGACGGGGACGTCGGAGGAGGTGGAGGCGAAGTTGCAGTGGCTGAGGGAGGAGGAGGAGGGTGCGTGGCTTGATGGGATGGTTGCGAATTGGAGGCAGAAGGTGATGCAGGCGGCGGAATCCGAGGCAGTGAGGATGGAGGAGGCTTGGGCCACGTAAACAGGCCAAGCTCGTAGCATTGATCCAAAGAATTGGTGGCGTGGTGGTATTTCTCTTTTCATATGACGAAAGATAGATCGGTATATGTTAACGAGGCATTCTTTTCTTCTTCGGTTTCATTCTTTATTTGTGTACTAATATTATATTGAAAAATATATGAAGTTTATTATTCAACTCCTATCGGCCCCTTTAAAAATATAATAAAATATTATTTTATTATTTGTCATGCAAATATTTCTATTTTTTTCTTCTTCTTATTTCATCCTCGTTGTCACTGTAGACACTCCTCGCCATTGATCCCGCTCGATGTCGGCCGTCCTCGCTCGTCGTCCGCTTGATTTATCTTTCGAGGAGGGGGAAAAAAAAGAAGGATATTTATATTTATTTACAAAGAATAATTTTTAAAAATATTATTTTTTTAAAATAAATTTATAATAGTAATAAGGGTCTGAAAATAGTAATTAAAAAATATTAGTGATTACGTGATTAAATTAAGATATATTTTTATCTTTGAATCATATTAGCTGCTGTTAATCGTATCATATGTGATTAAAAGTGAGTTTGTTGGATGTTAGTGGAAGGAGATATATATATATATATGTGTGTGTACAAATATGTATATACATGTATGTCTATATATATATATATATGTATATCAGGAGGTTAGCACGAATCTTAATGCAAAATCAAGCTTTAAGTGTTGCCCAAATCCACCCGATCCGAAATCGAAACGAAGCGTACAGAGTTCATAGACTTCCCTCCCACTCCCCCCCCCCCCCCCCCCCCCCGAAGCCCCGCTCAAATCCACTTCCTGGAATCCCTTTCTCCTCCTTCGTCCCCAACACGGTTTCCCCGTTTCTCTCTTCGGGGGCGGCAAAGGAGAGTGTCATGCCGGCGCTCAAGAACAAGGTACTTCTCTACAAGATCTCCAGATCTTGTCTCTTCCCTGCTCTTTCGCCTTCGATTCGCTAGGTTTTCTTGCTATTGTGGTCGATTTCTTCTTCTTTACCCCTTTTAAGTCTTTAGCTTCCGAATTCTTGAGGCTGAAAGGGGTTTTCTTTATCAGGTTTGTTTAAGGTAGAAATCTTTGTGGCGAAGCTGTGATTTTGGTCGTATGACGCCGAAGTTTCCACTGTTCGAGGTTTTAGTTTGATGCCCGGATTCGTATTTATAGTTATTGGAGAAAGATATTTGTGAGTTTATTGATGTGGCCAAAGATCTACCATTTCTTCTTCTTCCCTCAAAGTAGCCTCTCGAACCTGTTGGTTTCTTGAAACTAGTTCTTGCAGGGACACAAAACTCCTTGTCTTTTTGATCAGTTTTTTAAAATTTTGATTAGTTTCTTACACTTTCTCTTTGAATGTTCCTTTTAACACCTACAATCACAAAATCCTTTGGGCATAGAGGTTCTTTGACATTATCACAGAACCTAACGGAAGGTCTGCAAAGTCAACCAGATTCTGTCGTGCCTGCTAAGCCACTTATTTAATTTTCCTGACTAGATGCTTTAATTATTTTTTAGCAGTTTCTCCTTGTAGTATATTTCGTTGGTGTTGTGTATTTCTATAGACCGACACATTTTTGCTCTTGAAGCACATAGATGAATCTTTCTGTGTGAAAATTAAACTGATTCTGAGCTTTGTTTTTCTTAAACCGATTCTGAGCATTGTATGTGGAAATGGAGGATTCAAATTTTTTTGTTGTTTTGAGTAGTTCTGAGCTAGAACTTATTTGAACTGTCCAGAAGTCATTGAATTAATTGAATTGTGAATGAATTTGTGTTCTATCAGCCTCACATCTAATTGTTTGTGAAAGAATTAGATTATTTGAAATAAAAAGTCTCTTTTTTAAATGAATGAACTTTCTCGTCTTTAATGATTGTCAAAATTGTCATCTTAACATCCAAAGAGAAATACTCCATGTTCCCTCTTAAGCTTATTCAGGTGGTTGGCATCATTGAGCAAAAGTAACTTTGAATGCATATACCATTTTGAAATTGTTTCATATTGTATAGATTGAGTATTACCACTCTTACAAATGAAGTATGCTGGGCACTTGAAGTTCAGAAACATTAATTATAGGACACATTATCTTGGTGTGAAAAGTTTAGTTCAAAGTACTTCATGCCATCTTAATTTTTTTTCGAGAATATCCTATGGTACTTGGTTCTCAGTTTCTGGTGACTCTCAAGACCACAAATTATGTAATATGGGGCCCTCTGTAGTCATTTCCTTTCATATATATTAAGTTCCAAAACTGGTATGTATAGTCTCAATGTCTACTATGATGTCTTGTACACAAAATATATTAGTTGTGTGACATATAGAAACAATTCTCTTTCTAATTCTGAAAGTATGAAGTTCAGAATGCTTTTGAGTTCATTTGCCTTTTCTGGGATGTCAATATTTTGTTAGTTAATTCATTAACTAGAACATGTGTTAGGTGCTTGTTTTTTGGTCAAAATTGAAATATGGTAATCATGGGTTTGTCTTAACTGTTCATAGCTTCTTATCAGATAACTTTTCTTGATTTCCAAAGATATTTTCTGGCATTTATTATTGTACAATGAGAGATGGTTTGGGAGTTTATTTCTTCTCTGATTTTTTTAAATTCAATTGTAAACAGAAGCAAGAACAAGGGAGCATTGAACGCATATTTGAGGAAATGCTCATGGAGCTTGGTGGTCAAGTTGATTTTGATCTTCCATCCTGGCTGAAGAAATGGAAACCTGCACAGTATATAAGCATAAAGCGCAGTATCCATATTAATTTGATCTGAACTTTATCATTATTGTACATAATCTCTTGGTTCCTCTTTCTTTCATGCTGTTACAAACTTATGTTTCCTTTCATACTTTATGTTTTTTGATATGTACTAGATTCCATATATGAGCCAGTTCATCATATTACTGACAGTTTTATGTTACATACTATAACACAGAAAGATATCACTAATAGTTTGCAGTTAAATTTGCTGGAGCATTTTGAATATTTTTGGGATTTCATTGATGTACCAAGTTTCTTTTGCTTTGGGATGAGTATATCTAACTTCTGTTAAACATGGAAATGGGTTCTAAGTGATATATATTTGTAGTTGTTTTTTAGAGGGATGATAAACATAGAAATCATGACTTGGTTAATTTGCTCAAGAACTTATCGTTGACCATGACCTTTGAGAAGACATCTATCTTACCAAAAGGCGAATTGAGGATGATGGAATCTTCTGTTCCTGTACTCAATTAACAGGATCGTCAACTGTCTGTGATGGAGATTGTCATTGTGGGTAAGCAACTTCAGTTTCAGTCAATGAAGTCGTCAAACATGTTTTCTCAATTATGTAACTTTAGCAACTTCATTAATCAACACATCTATGGTTGATAATTTTTGCTGCAATGAGGGAAAACTTGTTTAACATACATTGATAAGATTGTACTGCTCATGATCTCCCCAATTCTTTTTTTCAGGATGCTATTCTCTTGTTGCTCATCTAGTTGCAAATGTGGTGACAAATGTCTTAACAAACCTTTTCAGCACAGAGATGTGAAGAAAATGAAAGTTGTAAAGGTATATTTTACAAATGTCTTACTTTTGTTCTACCATTTTTTAATGCTTAATTTTGCAAATTTTAATCATATAGACAATCTGAAATGAGTTGAACTTGAATTGCATGAAGAACTATTTAGGAATTCAATTTTTGGCTAATATTGTATGTTTAAGACAACACATGTGTTGGTAGATGAGATTTACCTAATCTAAGCCTACATATGACGTTTGTTGACCTTAGTTACAATATGCTGATTTTGTTTATATGATTTGTGATTCTTTATGGAACTTGAATTATGGAGGAGATACTAATTAAAATTACTCTAGACCATTAGAATTGAGACTTTTCATATTCTAAATCTTGATTTTAAGATACAGGAACTTTTGATGTTCATGAACATATCATTTTCTATTCCAAATTAACTTCTTATCAGTTAATGTTTCTTAATTTGAAAAATGAGTTAATCCATATGTCGATAATTTAGTTAGTCTCTTTGTTATAATTAGTCTTTCATTTTAAGTACAATGAATTGAATATTAATTGCCAAGTAGATGATTCTGCAATCAAGTAGGTGCTAATCCAATTCTAATCATTGTTCAGTGTGAGCAGTGTTTTAATTTTGTATATAATAACATCCGTAAGTAGACACTACTGCTATCAAGCAGGTGCTAATCCAATTTTATTTTCCTCTATTCCCTTTTTGTTCATCAAACTCATGTCTTCTATGATGGTTCATGTTAGTACATGCTTCTCAAGATTCATGGTGTTGAAGATGTGGGTTTCTCAAACAATTTTTTTAATGTTTACTTTTAATATGTTGTAATCCTTAATGCCAATAAATCTGATTTATATCATAGTTTTTTCTCATTAGTCATGCTCCTCAATTTGCTTCTTCTGTTTATGCAACCTCCAACTTTGGCATTCATTGTTCCTTGTGCCCACATGCAATTATTGCCATGTAAGTGACATAGGCATGCAATGGTGCTTATGTTGTGTTTGTGCCATTACATCATTAGATGTTAGGTAAATTTTTGGTGAGAGCTCAACTTCGAGTTACTCTGACCTTCATGCAAACTTAAAGATGCCATGCAGTATTCTACATTGAATTTATGGCTTGATATAGAATCATAGATTGCATGATGCCTCTTTTCCTAGTTCTATTGACATGTTCTCTTGAATTTGAACAAGGAATTGACCATTCTATGTTAAGGCCATCCTCATTAATGAGAGCTCATGGTTGGGAAGTTGATGGATGACTAACAGAGAATTTATTCCAGGTGGGAATTTAAGATGTGATTTGGCCTCAGCTGCTTGGTGTAGAAAAACATACAAAATTCTTAACTCGATGTTGATTACTATGACTAGAAAAATTATGAAAAATACTCAGCCCATGCTACCTTTGGTCAATGCTGTTTATTAATGGCCTTCAAATTATCCATTGAACTATAGATTATGGATGAATTAGCCATAATTTCCAACTCTTTATATTGCCTTGAATGATTCAGTGCTTGATTCCTTTTCGAGGATTATTAGATGTTGGGACACTTATTATAGATTCTTATTATTTTACAAAATTCATTGGAGACCATGTGAACCTTTAATTAAAATCAGAAGATTTTGGATGCTAGAGTGACATTTAGATATTGCTAAAAGATGCAAGAAGCCAAGAACTGTCTAAGTAGGGTGCAAAAATTTAATATTTCTCTTATTCTTGTGTAGACTAAGTTATCCTTTGTTTAATCTTAGTTTGACTGGTTATATTACCTTTGATAAAGATCAGTGTCTGAAAAAGATTCAAGTATTTGATCGTAACTAATTGGAAGATTGGAACCTTACTGTTTGTTGTTTTTGATAGTTAGGATATGTGACAATATAAGTAACCTGGAACTCTGGAACCAATTATAATTTGATTTGAGAATAAAGGATACCTTTCAAGTTGAGATTGTTTACATCTTGTTAATTTGGAGAAACACAGATGTTTTGGATGTCGAATGGCAAGAATCAAAGTATAAACTTATGCTTTAAAACCAAGTTATCAATGTTGCTATTGGCACTCTCTCAGGAGTTGTCAAAAGCATAAGGTTGTGTCTCTTGCCTATGCAGCCTTGTACCATGTACATATGGATTCTCACTAAGCAGTTCTTACCTTTGATTTGGACTTGTACTCTTCAGACAAATTGGAGAGGATTGAGCTGAGATAAATTACATTTAAATGTTGATGTTGTTTTTCAAAAGGTGATGTCATATTGTTAGTTTTAACTTCATGAACTTTCTGCTAATCTCCAACCAGGAGTTTAGGAACCTTTTATATATTGTATACTCAATAGTATGTCACAGATTTTCATACTCCTGCTGCTGATATTGATGCTGCTTAATTATATATCTCAGATTTCTGCATGTGTATCTGAGTCTCTTTATAGACCAAAATGATTATTCATATTTAGAAGTGCAAGTTTAGTAAAAACTTGTGATTGAAGATGAATTATTTATCATCCTTCATTATTTGTCTTCGATATTTAGCTCTGTAAATCATAAATTTTAGAAAGCTACTAATCCCACCATGTACATGCATATTTCTGAGAATATAGTACACTTTGTACTATATACAGTTTCTAAACTGGCTAAATTTTCTTGCTCCATGGTTAGTCATCATCTAGTCATATTCAATGAACTGTTTTCATAGTCAAATTGTTATTCTTTTGATGGCAGTTTGGAACGCCATCTTGTTGTTTTTCTTTTTATGGAGGAGATTTAGTGTCCACTTGTTCTCTATATGGTGATATAGTAGCATTTGCTTGTGTCTAGACCTTTAAAAGATTTTGTCTCCTCTAGACAGAAAAATGTGGTTTTGGTTTGGTAGCAGATGAAGACATAAAACAAGGGGATTTTGTGATCGAGTATGTTGGAGAAGGTGACTTCTCCCTATTCCATTTATCTCCATTGTCCTTCAAGATAATAAAGAAAGATTGAGTCATACAAATCTTTGACTCATCTTTTTGATATTCTACAGTTCTAGATGACAAAACTTGTGAGGAAAGACTCTGGAAAATGAAGCACCGTGGAGATACCAACTTCTACTTATGTGAGGTTAATCATGATATGGTGATTGATGCTACATACAAAGGAAATAAATCAAGGTTTATAAACCACAGTTGTGAGCCAAATACCGAGATGCAGAAATGGTCCTATACAATTCTCCATTCTCATTATTTTATTATATAATCTTTTCCATCATGATGTAAATTTTGTTATAATTTTATGTTTATTTGTAGGAGAGTTGACGGAGAGACAAGGGTTGGAATTTTTGCCCTATGTGACATAAGAAAAGGCAAAGATGTAACCTATGACTATCAGTATGTTCCATTTACCTTGGCAGTCTTTCTTTTAGCCTCTTGCACATCCTTCTTTGGTAATATTATCAATGTTGGTCATGTACTTATTTGTCTTCTTTTGCCTTTCCCTAGTGATTTATGTTACTTAGTAGTTCTATTCATTTAATGAAATCTTCAGGTTTGTTCAATTTGGAGCAGCTCAAGTTTGTCATTGTGGTACTCATAGCTGCAGGCAAAAACTAGGCAATAAACCTAGTAAGCAGTAGTCTTCTTTTAGTATTCTCTCTTATACAATAAATCCTTTTCTTATATTATATTTCCATGTGCAACTTAGGAAGTTTAAATACGGTGCATCATAAAAGGAAAACTGACTATGAGAACTGTATCGGGGAGCTTGTACGTGTGTGGCGTTCAAAGGACAAGAGGTGTGTCTAAACCTTGAAAATTTCTTGGCTACGGTAGATATGCTATGTAATATTTATAAACCTTGTATTGGATATTTGGCTGCACATTGCTTGTTATAGAGATATGTACCTTAATTTACAGGTTATATCTGTATACTGCATTTGCTAGGTATAATCTGTACAAATTTTTCCTTGGTGTGAATTTCTTTTATTGAACTAGTTAATTTATGTTCTTTGTTTTAGGTCCTAAAGGTGCTTAATGAAGTCTACAGTACTAAAATAGTGTTTCCTGATATATTCTTGATAATTAAGGGTTCAATATAATTCAATTTGGTACAATTATTATCATTTATCTTGCTGCTTAGAAATATAACTGCAGACTATCTCTATCTACAAAAGTGCCTTGCAATCTAGTTACCTCAATTATCTTTTTTTTCTTAAAGACGTTGATGGTAATCTCCAATTTGAAGATATAGTTACTAATGTCTTGCACAGAAGGGAAAATATTGTTCATTTAAATTTGGGTGTGCAATTATATGCTTAGCTCATGTGATTAGTTGGTGGACATGCTGTTCTCAGTTATTAATATAGAAGCAAAAGCATACTTCTTCTTTGGTAGAGTAAAAGAAAGTTTATTACCTTTCAAAATACAATACAAAACTGTGTACATGGATATTCATGAAACCATCCCAAATTAAACAGCCAAAAAATTAACATTAACGATGAAACTTTCAGAAAACAACATATATCCTATCCTCAATGTTCTCAGAATACTTCCTTAACACTGTACACTAGAATAACAATGCATTTAATCCTAATCCATAAAACCAGAGAATAAACAATCCACATAAGAAAAGACTATTGATTTTATTGAATAAAATAAAATTCAAGTATTTTTCTACTGGAGAGTCCACCTTTCCCTCTATGAAGAACCGACAACTAAAAGATTCAAGTATTTTTCTACTGAAGAGCCCAGTTTTCCTCTATGAAGAACTTGCAACTACAAATTTCAAAAACACAAGGAAGAATGCACCAGTGACGCAATCCAGAGACCCACTTGGCAATTGAATTTGAGCAGGATTCTTCTTACCAGCATGCTTCAATCAATCAGTAGATATTAAGATCATCTTGAAGCAATCTTGCTGCAAACAATATGCAATTTTCTCACCAAATCACAATAAAAGAATGCTCAGGCAAAGGAGAAAATGGATTACTTCCCAGCCTCTGTTCATTTCCAAGGATCTGTAGAAGGACAATTTCAGCAATCCTATTGATGGAAAATGACCATCTGGGAGTGCAACTTACTTGAGTAGTCATGATAGTTTAATAAATTCATATTCTGCATAGGTTTCCTCTTTCATGTTATATATCTTTACAGTCAAGCTGCAATTGTCCAGGAACATCCTTTGTGATTCATTTAATATGCTGCCACGACCTTCTTTGGTAGCATCAGAATAGATACTTGTCTCCTTAAATATGCAATCCTTGTAAAATGATGGAAGGCCATTTTTTATTTACTTCTTAAATTATTATGTTGAAAATTATTGTCATACTTGTCCATAGTTGCACTTATATACCTTTTTTTTTTCCCAATGATTTTCTAGAGCAGTGACTTAAATGTAGAAATAAGAAAATCTGGTGATCTACTTGACGAGTAACTTGTAGATTGTTTTGAAAAATCATATTGGGTATCTGTGTAAATTAGTTTGTAGAAGGATGATGTTCAGGTGGATATCTTTCACTTAAGCTGAATTGGATTATTGGATATGTTTGTTCTGTTAATTTGATATTATTTCCTGAATTTCACATCTGCAGTCATTCTTTTGATTGACAAATTCCACAAGATTTCAAATTGATTGTCTCATCTACTAGAAAATATTGTTAATCAGTACATGGTAGCATATGCTTTTTTACTAAAATGATTTTACATTAGTGCTTCTGGTATATATTTTCAAGGAAATAATATTTCTGAAATATATTATTTGACATTTTATTGCTATTTATTGTTTTCCAGGTACTATGGAGGTTTCATATCTGATTTTGATTGTTTCTCTGGAAAGCACACAGTAAGTAATTAGTTTCCTTGGTAGCATGCTAGTTTCGCAATGTCCACAGATCTTATTGTGATTTTGTTTTGGCAGATAATATATGAAGATGAACATGTAGAAGTTATTGACATGTCAAAAGAAGATTGGGATTTCCTATGACCACATACACATTGTGTAGGTAATGCTAATTACATAAAGCATCAGCAAACCAGTCTCTTTTTAACTTTGGGAAATTTTTATGTTCATTGTCATAGATTTTAGATGCCCATGCCCATGCCTATTTTCAGTTCTTTTTTCGTATAAATCTTATTCCTATGGAGATCTAGTAGGATGTTATTTAGAATGGTTACTGATGATCATATAGACAAGCATGTGTGCACTATCTGTTGCAAATATGGTTATTACAGATGTAGAATAGAATACTTTATTTTTCCAGTTAAATTTGAAGGCTGGCAATCTAAATAATTATGCATGTTAAATTTCTTTTTATCACTCAATCTGTTCTTTGTTGCTCTGCTTTGCAGTAATGTCCATGGTGATCCACTGTATCATTAGCCAATCATTCATTGTGTTCCTAACAAAGTCAAACGGTGTCTCTGCTGTGCTTGTTACCGGTTTGTACTAACTATTCATTTCTTCTTATGTCCGACTGATACTCTGATCTGATGTTACCATACCTTTCATTGATCCTGTCCACAATATTTCGAGCTGGTATAACTACGGCTTGAAATATTACCTGGAATTATTGTACCCATTTAACATGAAACAGTTTGTTTCCCTTTTTATACAATGATAAATGAAGATTGCTTAATTCTTGTAATTATGTGTTCTCTTCAGTTTTACTCGATCAGTTTGCCATCATGTTTTTCACAGCTCAAGCACAAGAGGTTCTATATGATGATTGTTCGTGGACTCAATTCTTCTCTGGTAGCTTAATTGGTTGCCTAAAGTGATTTTGATTGATGTTGCCACTCATATAACCCTTTTTCCAACCCTTGTTTAGAAAAAATATTTGGAGTCTTCAAGTTTGAGGATGAAGATGCTGCTTTTAGGAATTTTCTATCAGCTACATCGATTGTCTTGAGGACAAGATACCTAAGCATACATTATTGTGTGGCTACTTTCATGTTCTAGTAAACTTAATGTGGCTGATAAAGGTGGTTTAGTTCATCTATCATCAAACTATCAGTATTTGCAACTCCAATACATGTTATCTGTCATAATTAGACAAGACAGAAATTTATGCTCAGGAAAGTGACACTAGAAAGTTAAATTGATTCCGTGTTCTCCGTGTCTTTGTTTCTATGCACTGTCTATAGGTTGAGAAATGGATTAGTGAGTAGCTCAAGTCATCAAAGCTTCCCGATGATGAGGTGAGTAGCTCAAGTCATCAAGTCATCAAATTTATGCTGGGTTCGATTCTTGGATCTCTCTTTTGCTTCCCAAAGTGTATTGAGGGATTGATTGTATTTGAAGGCTATCGAGGGTATGAGAACTATCTTTAGTATTATTTGAAGGCAATTGGGTATGAGATCAATAGCTAATTATTGTAATTAGCTATCTTAGTGTATCGATTACTATATTTAAAAAAATTATATTTGCATTCATCTATGTTCATTTATGTTAATACTGTTCGTTTTACTAATAAAAATATAAAAATAAATAGTAAATATAATTTTAATATTTCAATTGATGATGACGGATAATGTCGGTGGTAGTTGATAGTGATGCCGAGAGTGGGTGTTATGGACGTGGAGAGTGAAAATGAGAGATTAAGGTCGCTTTGTATCCGTCGATATCGATGTAGTTGTTGAGCGATCCTTTCGTTGCTCGATAATTGTCAGTGTCGATATAGATGTTGAGTGATGAAAGGACTACGATGTAGATGTTGAGTAGCATCACTCGACAATTGTGTCGCATCCGTGGCCCCCTAATGGCGTCATCGTCTACGCCATCGATATCGTCTGTCGTCATTAATTAGAATATTAAAATTATCTTTTTATATTTTACAATCGAGATACTGAATATAGCTAATTACATAATTAATCCACCAATAAATCAAGAGAGTTTTTACTTATTCATCACTTGCATGCACCATATGATATGTGTTTCTATCATATGTTTTCGAACCAATCATAGATAAGTTATTTATCCTTTTAAAACAAAAATACGAATAATGTTGTCCAATCATTCCTCCCTATTTTCCGGTCTTCTTGCGCCTAATCTCTGGTCTTCTCTTCTAGACGTTGTCAATCCTCTAGAAGAATTCAGACTAAACAGCGGAAGGAATGCAGCCGATCGGATACGATTGGGACACTGTTGAAGGATCTGAAATGTATAACCCGCAAGTTCCAGGCAAGATCAAAGCATAGAAACGATCCAAGGTTCAGCCGTCATGAGAGAAGCTTCGAGTCAACGCCGCCTTCACCTCATCTTCCACAAGCAATGCACACAGAATCGAGACTTGCAGCTTTGAACCAAACGTGCGGGACACGTCGCCGGCTGGTTGCAGAACCCCCGCGGCGCCCATAAATAGACGAACACGGAGCACCGCAAGCGCCCCATCTGCACCGAGGCCGCTGCGATGAGGACTGCGAGATCCATCGTTGCTGCACTGCTTCTGTGCCTGGCCGCGGCGGCGACCGCCCAGGAAGCGTCGAACGTCCGCGCCACCTACCACTACTACTATCCGGCGCAGAACAACTGGGACCTGAACGCCGTCAGCGCGTACTGTGCGACGTGGGACGCCGATGAGCCATTGGCGTGGCGGCAGAAGTACGGGTGGACGGCCTTCTGCGGCCCTGCCGGGCCCACCGGCCAAGCTGCCTGTGGCAAGTGCTTGTTGGTAAGCATCAGCGTTACAGCCTCCGGCTGACCTTTTTTTTTGGCTTTACGTCCGCGATGTAGTTTACAGAATCCCAAAAGAAACGACGTGACGGTGTGTGGGGGTGTTGCAGGTCACCAACACAGCGACAGGGACTCAGGCGACGGTCAGGATCGTAGACCAGTGTGCAAATGGAGGGCTGGATCTGGATCAGGGTGTCTTCTCTCAGCTGGACACCGATGGGACTGGCTACGCGCAGGGACATCTGATCGTGAACTACCAGTTTGTGGACTGTGGTGACTGACGTGTGTCTTCGTCTTCTCCTCATGCATATCATGGCCCCATCTTTGTGTCGTCCCTCTCAACTCAATAAGAGGCCAAAAATGGATGAGGAAATAAACGCGATGAAATAATAAAGTTTCCATTGTTGTCAGTATGATCTCCAACTACAATCATGTCCTCGGTCACTCTTCTACTTCATCAGGCATCCAATCTCTTTTACTTTTTTCCCAGTATTATCCTACAATTTATATGATACGGCAACATGAACTCATCCCAATAAAAATATTATAAGACAAAGTCATTATACATATAAATATAATACTTTTGAATAGAAATTTGTAAGAACAAACACAAAAACATCTTCAGAACAATAGCAAAAGAGCACTTTATTCCCATCTCATATCACAAAAGAAATAATTGTTATTGTATGGTACCACTCATGCAGTACAGAGAGGAAATATTTCTCGGCCACTGGGACAAATGTCATGTCGCACCATCGATGGTTTTGTCAGGTGGCAAGATCAATAAACATACATGCTAATGGATTCAGCTTGGATCCATCTCGATGGGAAAAAGAAGATTGATGAAAATTTTGAGTGAGCTAGTAAACAACACTAAGTTTGGAGGACTTTCAGTGATCCACAACAAAGAATAAAAATGAAGGGTCGATGAAAATTTCAATGAGGTAGCAAAACAACATGTTTTTGCAGTTTTATTTCTGACTGCGGATCAAAACTAGATCTTCTAGTCACTATGCAAATCACGAGACTTGAGTGCTAAGTCTTACCTGCATTTGGACCCCCAATGAAGAATTGGAAAGCTGCAGGTTGCCGGTCTGGAAACGTTGGCAAATAGGTAATTGAGACGAGACAGAAACACATTTGATCTTTCTTTGGGTGCAAGCTTGCACAGTTTGACTTGTTGCAGGAGCAGGTGATTTCAAAGAGTACTGTGATGAAACTTGAAACAGGATCTGAGCAGATCATGACCCAATAAGACCTTTGTGGCGAGCATAAGCAATTATGAAAATGAACAGGAAGCCACTGATAAGTCCCGACAAAATGACCACCTACGAAGCGAACAAATGTTAGCCAAGTATCAATGTGGAAGTACATTGTTGATAGAAGCCTTTTGTTCACTGGTCAGCTTACCCATTTGAATACATGTCCATGGTCATCATTCCATGAATACGGTATGTTCATTCCAAATATCCCAGCAACCAGTGAATATATTGAGAGGGAAACTGTGCCAGAACTCAAGAACAGCTCTAGCTACAATACCACAACGGAAAAAGATCAGTAAACAACGATAAAAGCGAATATGTGGATTCAGAGGAAAAACAGTAGTGGTTTGCTCAAGAACGTGAAACAACAAACAAAACGCAGATCTTTAATTGTTTTGCAGCTTAAAATAATGGTGAAGAAGACTTCGTATTACCTGAATAAGTTGGTTTCGGTGGTTGTCAAGCTGCCAAGAAGAAATAAGTGATATTAGTTATTCTTTCTACCAAATTTCTTGGGTCAATTGACCAAATCTTACCTGAATATTGATATAGTCCTCTGTGTCATCAATATATTCGCGTAGCTGAAAGAAAATTTAGATTATGTAAATTAACCAGGCAAAGAGACACCTGATCCTATGATAATTATTGATTAGAAACATAGTAAACGGGTAACATACAACAAAAAAACAATATAACTATCAGCAAATCAATACACCTAAAAAGCTCATGTTTTTTAATAAGATGGCATCCAAAAAAGATGCAACTACACTCGTCTTGCATACACATTGGGAGCATGAAGCAGAGGACATCTAGATAAACAGTGAGATGAAAGTTAATGCACTGAACACATTTTAACTAGACCAATGCAGCATGAACATGGAAGTCTGATTGTTATCCTGATCACAAAAAAAATCTTTTATTAACAAAATAAAAGAAATTATGGGCATAAGCATAGAAATGTTATCAAAGGTACAAAGAAAACAAATGAAATTATCAAAGGAATTATAAAAAAAACCATTGTAGTTTGCTAAGTGGCTCTAGTATCTGATTAAGTTTCCTCTTTCAAGATATAAATCGCAGCAGTCAACTGCCATGATGACAATGTCAAAACCAGCTCATGTCACTCTTAATCCTAAACACCAATTGCTCTTGCTAAGGGGCAGCCTAATACTGATTCTTTTATAAATTAAAATACAATTTCTATGCATGTTTCCATAGTCTACCACTTTTTTTCTCCAAAACAGATTTGAGTAAACATCGCTACTGAAGTTGCCAGATTATTGACATGCATGAGTAGACAATACAGAATTATTTATTTATCATATATCATTACAGCTCCTGCTAGTCCTCTACCATATCAACTCTTTTCTTCCTAGTTTCAATTTCATTATCCGAACTCCTTTTTCACATGGTTTATGTATAAGCAACATTTTATTATTAGAACTTCTGGCATTCTGTGCATTAATCTTAGTTTATTCACAGTTGAAGTAACCTAACATAAATTTACACCACTCTGACATGTTCAATTCTTATCACAAAGCTGGCAGCAAATAAGCAAATGGAGAGGGGTTGATGCAACTATCATTTGTTTTTGGCTTCAGATTTTCCTTTGGAACTATTGCCTTAGATTTCTTTAAACAATAGTTCATGAGGTAATGAACATGTTTTTGTCATAGAGATGGGCCATATGGCTATCTGATTCACCATACCACCATTCTGCATTTGAGTAATAGCAATTCAATTAGTTCCACAATTTGCACAGATGAATGGTGAAGAAATGTTATAATGAGACAGCATGTCCTGACTATTTCTTTTGAATCCAAATATGTTGGAACATATGATCTTAGATACTGACTAATAATATAATTATAAAGACTTACAGTAGTCAACTTGTTCAATGTGCCATCAATTTGCATGAAGTATGCCTGCATAGATTAAGAAAATGCTTAGAATTAGATATTGATGCACAAGTTAGTTCTCATCTAGCTTCTTTTCTTCTGCCTAAAAGTTTATGAATCATAAATAAAGAGACGAGTTGCTCTATGACCTCGAGTAACATTTCCAGCTCCTCAACATCGTTCTCGTTTCCATGTATAGTTGCTGCACTTGCCCTGCTTGCTCTGGATATCCTAGATCCAATTGTTGGTGAAGCAGGGAGCCAGTTAGGCATACTAGAACCGCTGACAGGAGAGGATGCTCCAGCCAGTTTCCTTGACAAGTAAAGATCTGCCATATCATCATCGTCATCCAATAACTGTTCAAGCTCATCCCTTACCTGGTGAACACAATAATTTGCCAAAATAGATTTAAAAAGAAGGGGTAACAACCTGCAATACAGGTCATTACACAGGAAGCACTAGCCACCATACAATTACAATTCCAACATGATGTACGATTTGTGCTTGCTATTCAATTTTTGTTATGCTTGAATGATGTTTAATAACAAGAATAAAAAAAATCTGTTGTGCAATCCAACTTTTAGATCTCTTACAAACTAATTTCATTTTACTCATTATTGAAGTCAATGATGTTAAATTTAAATTTTGAAATGGTATCTATATAAGTATAGATGACAGAACAAAAGTAGAAACTCTTAAAAGATCCTCAACTGGCTTCAATGTCGAATAAGAAGGATAATGCAAGAAACTCTAGATGAATAAAAGTTCCTAATAGATAATCGCCATTGAATCATGAACCAATTAATTAAAATTAGTAAAGAAATTATAGCTGCTATCTCTATATTTAGTTTTCCCAAAGCCATTGCCAAGTATATTGACTACATGTAATCATATGACTTGGAGTTGGACATGGTACCACTGTTTGTACTGATCCAAATTACCGTTATGTCTTGTTTATGGTACTTCTAACTTCTAAGAAGAGGCAATGGCACTTTTGGTTATTTGATAAATATATTGCCTTCATACAAAATACTCTCTATGCCACTGTTCTCTTTTCCTTCTCAAAAGGTAGATGATAAGATGGTCAACATTATGAACTTAAACCTTTTACTTAATCAATGGCTATTCTCTCTCAAGCACAAGTAATAACCCTGGCAATGAAAAGGAGGTGATCAACGAGACAGCAATTACACAGCTGGAAAATCATCACTAGCCCTGAATGGATTTAAAGATGGAGATCGTTGGAGAGGGGCTCTCTTGTATAGAAGTTATGCACTGTTGTAGCATTTGATTCTATTTCCATTTTCTTTTGAAGTTTGTGAATAAATAGATATAATATAGACATTCATTTACTACTCAAATAATAGCATGTATAGCAACTATGGAATTACTTTGTCTTTTGTGCTGTTAGCATCACCATCATGCCAAGACATAACTTAGCATGCTGACATAAACATAGCAGCCCACTGACACCCTCCATGCCACTGATGTTGATCTAAAAAAGAAGTTGATTTGTGATCCACAAATCTGTATATATCTCAAACACTAAAGCATCATGATAAATCCATGATGAGACAGAAAAACATTTTTCGAAAATTCTTAATTGATGATATTAATAAAATTAAGGTAAAAATAGGTTCACAAACTGTAATTAAAAAATAACTAAAGATTAAAAAAATAATTGGATATATTGAAAAGTAAGACAAACCTTTTGGACACGAGCAGTCAACCTAGTCATGGCACTCTTCAACTTACGCACTCGATCCAAGTTTCGGCTGCTAATCTACACAATGTATTTGTAATTGTCAAACAATCAAATGGAAAAAGGAAGAACCTAATTTGCATAGAGAGAAACAAATACCAAAATAGTTGTTAAAATAAAGGAAAAAACAATAAAAAACAGAAAATAGCACAATGCAACAAACTAACTGCATCTATTCCAGACTCTAAACTACCATTTACCATACCAAAGAATCAAAAGGGGTGCAAGCTACCATCTACCTGTAGCCAAGTGGTCCAAGCAACACAAATTTACTTAAAGCAACAACTTGATGTTCATCTTTAGTTAAGGTAATAGAAGACCACCTCCACAGATTAGATGACTGAATTTCCAGGTCATGACAGCCCATAAGATTCAGGCTTGAGAGCCCACTGGTGGGTCTCATAATCCAGTCAATACCTTTTAACAACATGGTAATTGGTAACCCTCATCAACACACTGTTAGCTATGTCCTTGATACAATATAGAAACTGGAGACCCCTTGACATGGCAATAGGTGCAATCTCAGTTTCAAGAGGCGACGACGACATAAACTTTCCGACACTGAAACTTCATCTAGATTGAGTCAGCAGATCAGATTGTATAGGAATAAGTCAGAGGAGGATAAAAATCTAAACATAAAGGTCTCGTAGGCTGGTGGCAGATCAGAATCGAAGTTATCAATAGGATCTCTTCTAATCCTCTCCACTCTGCTTCACTCGTCTTATGCCTTTATATCAATCGAAGTTATCACTCAGCACCATTAACCAAGATAGTCTAGTAAAAAGTGATTCACCAATTTTTGCGACATAGGAAAAGGATATGCATGAACATAAGTTGTAATCTGATAAAGAATTCAGACCAACACAGTGAAGGTATGAATAGAGAAAAATTGATCCTTACCTTGGAAGTCAGCTCATCTAAGGCCGGGTAAGCAGCAGTCTCTAGTTCGCTGGTGCGTGCATCAAGATAGCTACAAATAGCTTCTAAAGCAACTTCCAGGGCTCGAAACTCAAAGGGAGATTCTACAAAAAAAACTTTATTACCTTAGGCAAATATATTATTGATAAAATTGGATATACCAAAAGCATTATTATTTTCTATAATAAACCAATTAAAGATGTTCTTAAGCATTCTATTTTCTTTTTCACCTTAAGCAATAACTGTAACCATAATATCATTTTTACCTAGGTTTTATGACATATTTTCCACAAAGTAATTAACCTAGACAACATATGTTAAATCCTGTACCCAAAGACAAATATATTGGTCCAAAATTCTCAATGCAAAATATGGCCAGTATACACACACACACACACACACACATATAAACATATACATACATATACATATATAATATATATAAATACAAATATATATACATATATACATATATACATATATATATGTGTATGTACACACACACACACACATGTTATGTGTGTGTGTGTTCCAAAAGAACATTGCTTCTACCTCTTGGGCCTGGAAAGGAACATGTTGTTTGACTTATAATTAAAAAGGGGAGGAAGGGTTTTTAGAAAGTTTCTTGGTATTGGAATGGACTTCTTAGCGACATTTGAAATGATCACTATATTGATGACATTCCCTTAACCAAATGACCTGATCTAATAAACGTGGATAAAATGAGGAATTTCCAAGTAGTGTCTGATTAATCCATGAGAACTAGTGGAAGCTGAGTATTCCTAATATTTTCTTTTGCTCCTCTCTAGCTGAAAAAAATAATTAACATTATCCATATTCCTCTAGTAAATTTGGATGCATCCTCACAGCGCAACCACACTATACCACACTATGAAGTGCATATCAATACTTATAAAGAAGCATTTCTGATTTTTCACAGGATTGGGGTAGCTGGAAAGTAATTCTTAATGTTCAACTCTCTTTATGGAAATTACTTTGGCAAAGTTTACCAACTTCTACTTGGATTTCCAAATTCTTTATTAATCAAATAGAAACTTGTACTATCTACCACATGTTCCAAGACTGTAATCATAGATTTGTGAGTACACTTATGCATCTTCTTACGGGACCATTGTTAAATCCAAAATAAGCATTTTTTTTCAAGTTTCTTTATGATTGACCTTAGAATTGCATGATTAGATAATATTCAGGATTTGGACAAAACATCAGCCAATAAAATCAGGATTCCAATTGCTTATAGAATCTACGACATGATTGTCTATTTAACCGCCGCAGCATCCAACCTCTCTTTGGTGTCATGCTACAGCATGACAAATATGAGGGGGTGCAGAGGACACCAGGAACAATTTCTCCATCTAATTTACCGATAGAGGATTATTTAATCCTGGATTGTGATGGGTCTTTTAACCCTAACCTTACAGGTGCTAGGCACATCATCAAGATCCTCCAGGGGAATGTCCTCACAGCTGGCTGCAGCCTTTGCAAGGCGTCAAACCTACTCGGGCAGAATGTTAGATCATTAGGGAGGGACTAAACTAGGCATGTCAAGATCTACAACATATGGGTTTGCTCAGATTCACTACAGAGTATCAATATGCTGAGTAACTTGAAAGTGATTCCTTTGGCCATTCACGACATGCTGAATGAAATCATCTTTCATCTTGCTAGTAATGCTCATGAGTAGAGGGGAGATCTTTTTGCTGGGACACCAATTTCCTTGAATTCGTTTTTTTTGGTAAACTCCTCTATGCACTTACATACTATTAACACATGAACACATTGGTCTTCAAATTAAAAAAATTAGCATCAGCTCTTCACTATGATGCATTGTCACATAGCAGATATGTCAGTTATTGAAAAACTTGGCAAAAGTCAGTATAGTATACCATCTTCTTCAACAGCTTCCACGTCATGTTGTCCAGTAACATTCTCTCTCCCCTCTCCATGTGCATTATTGACAACATTTGCCAGTGGTAATCGTCTTTGAAGCTCTTCCACAATTGGAACAACATTTTCTTCTGCGGGATCCCTAAGCAAAACCTAGTCCACAAAACACCACAAATTAGGATACCATGACAAAATCCACTATACAATACTCGAAAAATCTAGTGCTTATAGATGGATGAAGGTTGTCTACTATAAACTTATGGTTTCTTTTTAGTTTTACCACATGCACAATGATGCAGAGGAACCCACAAGTTCCAGTTAACCATAAGTGCCAGAAACAGTCTCCAAAACAATTAAAATCTGTTTCCTATTCATACAATTTCATATCATGACATTAGTGACTGATTAGTTTCTTCTTCTTCTTTTGATAGGAAAACCATTACTGCTCTTTGTCAAGAAGAAATCTTGAAAAAGTAAAAGACATGTAGCAAAGAACTTTTGCGGTGAACAGAACATTAAATTTGCAACATCAGAGAAGGAAAAACAGAAGGTCTCGTACATCGCATTAACGGAAATAATCTAATTAGGAGTTATTATTGGAGAAAACTTCAAAAGCTAAAGCAAAAGGAGCTTTTGGTGTACGGGGAAGTAGTAAATCCTAATCACCATAGAAAGACAAACCGTAGCTTTGCGCCATTACCTCGTCCGCGGTGATGATCGCTTTAATGTGCTGAATCCCAAAAGCCAAAAGAAAGCAAATTAGCAAAAAGATCGTACGCCCTCCATATCAAGGTGAAAGACAAAGCACGCTACCTCAAGATTGAGAACGATGGCTCGCTCGCGTCCCAAAATCGTGGAAGGGTACGAGAGGAGGGGGTCCAGGATCCTGAGGTCGCGCGCATGGATCTGAACCCGGTGCATGATGGCGTACTTGTCGACGTCCAAGATTGTCCCTTCCCCGCTGGAATCGAACAGAATCCAGCTCCTCGCGGCCGCCGTCTTCTTCTTGAGCGCGGCCTGCGTCTCCGCGGGCACTGCCAGCGCTTCCCGCGCCATCTCCTCCTCCTCCTCCTCCGCCGCCGCCCCCGGAGCTCTCACATCTCCTCCGGCGAAACGAGGCGCAATCGGGGGAGCCGAGTCCCTCCTTCCCAATTGTGGCGGACAGCAGTGCGAACGAGGCGGTGCAAGCAACAATATAAACTTTTCTTTCCATATACAATAAAGGAGAAAAAATTGGTAAGAAGGAGAGGTAGGAATCCCACCTCTCTCTCTCTCTCTCTCTCTCCCTCTTTAATTTACTTTAATATTAGTGCTTCATTCTTTATTATTATTATTATTATTACTAATTATTTAATTATAGTGCCTCAATTTTTTCCCTTTGCATCTACTTTATGTCAAGGTTACATTTCTTAATTGGACTTCAAATTTGTAGAACAGAAATTAAATTCAAAAAAAATATTCTGAAACAAAATAGTGTAATTATTATAATCAAAACATAGAGGTCACTGTTTTACAATGTTCTTCTTTTTCTCCAATGAAAAAAAGAATACTTAATTATTTATGCTTCTTAATATCAAAGCTGAAGCACATGGATAAAGTCATCACATTACATGACAAAAAGGATCATGAAGTTCTTCATATCCAACAAACATTAGAATAACATGTTGCTTTTATTTTATGTGGTGTTTGTTCTCCAAGGTAAGGAGACTCCAGTCCTCGTCTATTCCTTTCAATACTATTTCTGACCGTTGACCCGGGAGAATGGCAAAAGTCAAAGGGGGAGGTCAAACGTTTTCTCATTTCACATGGTTGACCAAAACATTTAATTTGATTGGGTGAGAAAATAGGATGATGTGTCAAACAATCTTGTGTTTCTTTCGTTGCAGCATGTACACATCAGATGGTTTATTTTTCCAATGTGGCCACCTTAGATGTAGGTGGAAATATATTTACACCTTAAAATTTATATGGTAAATAGTACATTTTCTTCTGTTATTTGTTATAAGTAGACATATTTATAAAAACCTGTGTTTCTTTTTATTTTGTTTGAATGGTATGCATATTTATTTTAATCTCATAAATACCTCTCATCGTCACATGTCATTATCATTTGTCACTTCTGTCCCTCCATGATTATTTTCGTCATGCTAGCTATGAATTGAGCGAGGGGGATGACAACAAACTTCTTCTTTATTTTGTATCGTCGCTCGTTCTCAACCTTAGTGTACTTAGCCATAGCCATAGGGAAGTTTGTGACAAGTTTAAGGGTAAGCATGGAAGCTATAAACAAGGGTCAAATGAAAAGCCATAGATGAGGGGTCAACGGGAGAGGTGTTATAGGACAATAGAGGAGCTTTGTTAAATTTGATAAAAAGCGGACCTCGTGGGTTTTCAAGATAATAGTGGGATCTTTCATAGATAAGGATCGGGTTGGAGGTGGTGAGGAGGGGCTTTGTGACGATGGGGGAGAAGTCTTGTATGGCGAAGGTAATGGTTAGTGAAACAACAGGTGAGTTCGTGTGGATAATGCCTTATACGATGGGTCATATAAGGGAGGACGGAGGGGAAGCCCTACCATGGTTGTCTTATTTTATTTCGTCGAGATTGACGATCACAAAGCACGGGGAGAACTCGACGATCGATGTGGTGAAAGATATTAGAAAGGAGGTGGTAGGATGGAAATGACGATGAGGATATTTACAAGATTTAGAAAATAAGTGTACAATTAAAAAAAAAATAAAAACAATGATGCTTTCTGGAAAAGTAAAAAAAAAGTTTATGAAAAATAAAAGAGAGTGTGAAGCATCAGAGGAAATCAAAAAGGCCTCGAACATCATAATATCATATCTGACCACCATCAATTTTATTCCTTCTTGGTTCCTCCTTGCCTTTCTTTTGAGAGCCTTTTCAGTACATGAGAATTGGGCATCTAATCCCAATGTGCTAAATGAGTTACGTGTAGCCGTCGGAGTCAAACTCGGAAAACATTCGATCCACGGCAGCATTTGACTTTTGTTGTGTTTATTATGTATACGTTTTTGCATTAAATTCGTGTTGTGCTTTCAAGCAAAAATATAATCGTGGATTAATAAACGGATTATAAAACAGTGTTTTGCCCCTTATTAATTAATCGTTATTATACAGTAATCTTATCATTATCTCATTAGACCGGTTCGGCCCGTGGTCAAAGCCGTCCGGTCCAGGACGGTCTGATCGGGCCGGTCGAACGGTGGCTCGGGCTTCGGTGTGCTCGATTTCCGGGGGCGCGCACTCGAACCGGGAGTCAGCAGCAGTGCGAAGAACTCGCGGGGCAGCAAATGGGACGAGACGGACGGCGAAGACGCTGACGTTGACAGAAGACATCACAGTCTGGGTTGGTTCATTGTTGTTATTATTTAAAGCGACAAGTGGGGATCAAAGATACACTCCCTTTCTTCAGTTCCTAGGAAGCCCTAGCTTAAAGGAAGCCTCCCCACATTTCTCTTCTCTCGCCCTCGCCTGTGATTCTCAAGCGAAGCCTTCATTCCGATTCTTGTCCTCTGCGTTTCCGAGATAAAGGATCTGCATTTCGGAACGGTTGCCTGTGGTTTTTGTCATTCTCGTGGTTCTTGTTCTCTGTGTTTTTCCGGGGAAAAGGAGCCGCCTTTCGGTATGTTCGCTTGTGGTTTTTGGTGGTTTATATTCGATGGGTTTACCCGCTCCATTTAAGTTTTCTGGAGAGAAATCTTTTCCAAAGGTTATACATCATTTGAAGTATTTATTTTCTAGAGAAAAAGAAGTGATTTTTCATTGAAATGAAGTCCTAAGGCATTATAATTTTCTTGGTAATTTAATCATTCTCTTGCTGATTATATTTCTCTTGATGTTTATATCAGCGCAGGGGTGAAAATATTTTGTGATTCTATAATTAAGAACTTTGAGGTTAAAAAACCGTGCTTCTGAATGAGTCTTATGGCGTGAGATGAAAAGCTTTAATGGAGAGATCTTCTATTTGTTTCTTTCTAAGTTGTCTATAGAGTTGTTTGTCTGTTTAAAAAATAAAAAAAAGAAGAATCTGATTTTGGTTATTACTAGTGAAAAACTATAGTAATCTTATTCACATTTGTTTCAGATTTTGGGACAAAGATGCATGCTCCATCCAAGAAGAGAAATGTAGTGGAGAATGGGGATGAAGGGATTGATGTTGTCCTTGTGAGGTCGATCATAAATGGGGAGCATGAGAATGTGGGCCCCATTGTTAGGTATGCATTTGAGAGAGGGAAGCCTGAGGCCCTCTTGCACCAACTCGTGAATCTGGTTGGTAAGAAGGAAGTGGAGATAGAAGAGCTGTGCAGACTTCACTATGAGGAATTCATTCTTGCGGTTGATGAGTTACGGGATGTGTTGGTCGACGCTGATGAACTCAAGAGCTCGCTGTCAAACCAGAATTTCCAGCTACAAGAGGTGGCAAGTACACTTTTACCAAAGTTTGATGAGCTCCTTGAGCTTTACTCGATCAAGAAAAATGTCACAAAGGCCATAGAAACATTGGAGGTCTGTTTGCAACTCTCAAAACTATGCCTGACATGCAACATGCATGTCTCAAACAACCGGTTCTACCCTGCAGTGAGGATCTTGGACTTGATCGAGAAGGATTACATACAAAAAACTCCATTTCAGGCCCTCAGGAAGGCAATCGAGAAGCAGATACCTGTAATTAAGCTGCACATTGAAAAGAAAGTGTGTAGTGAGTTCGATGATTGGTTAGTTCACATAAGGAGCATGGCTGTGGAGATTGGGCAGTTGGCTATCGGACATGCTTCGTCAGCCCGACAAAGGGAAGACGAAAAGCGTGCTCGCCGGGAGGAAGCTGAAAAGCAGAGTCGGTTTGGTGTTGGTGATCCTGTGTACACATTGGATGTTGAGCATGTTGATGAAGATTCGGTGCTAGAGTTTGATCTGGCCCCAGTATATCGGGCACACCATATACACAGCTGCCTCAGTCTTGAGGATAAATTTCGCAAGAACTATTACAAGAATCGGTTAATGCAGCTGAATTTGGACTTGCAGATGCCGCCAGTTCAATCCTTTCTTGAATCTCACAGACCTTTCTTTGCACAAATTGCTGGGTTTTTCATTGTGGAAAACCGAGTTTTACAAACTGCTGGGGGATTGGTGTCAGAGAGCCAGGTGGAGACCTTATGGAATACAGCTATCTCAAAGATGACATCCGTTCTAGAGGATCAGTTCTCTCGTATGGACACCGCAAACCACCTTCTTCTTATAAAAGACTTTGTTACTCTTGTTGCTGACACTCTCATGCACCATGGGTATGGGTTAACACCTTTGCTTGAGGTTCTTGATAACAACAGAGACAAGTACCATGAACTTCTCCTCAGTGAATGCCGCAAGCAAATAGGAGACACCCTTGCAAGTGATACCTTTGAACAGATGGTGATCAAGAAAGAGTATGAGTACAATATGAATGTAGTGTCATTCCATCTTCAGTCCTCAGATACACTGCCAGATTTTCCATATATTGCGCCATTCTCTTCCTCTGTTCCAGACATATGTCGCGTAGTGCGTTCCTTCATTGAGGACTCTGTCAACTATTTGTCATATGGAGGTCCTGTCAACTTTGATGATGTTCTAAAGAAGTATCTCAACAAGCTTATGATTGATGATCTGAACAAGGCTCTACTAAAGGTGATCCATACAGGTAATTTAGATGTATCACAGGCGATGCAAATTGCTGCCAACATAGCTGTTTTGGAATGCACTTGTGATCTTTTCCTATGTCAGACTGCCCAGCTTTGCTCGGTCCCTTTACACTTAGTTGAAAGGCCTCATGTTGGATTGACTGCCAAGGCTGTTTTCAAGGCATCACAGAATGCTGCTTATGATGCATTGCTGAATGTGGTTGATTCTAAGTTGGACGAGTACCTCGCTCTCATGAACAACATCGAATGGACAGCCGACAAAGCCCCAGAACATGCAAATGATTATATCCAAGAAACTGTTATATATCTTGACTCCCTTATCTCTACTGCTCAACAGATTTTGCCTTTAGATGGTATCTACAAAGTCGGGGTTGGTGCTCTGAATCATATTTCTGATTCTATTATGGCAGCTCTTCTTAGCGATAGGCTAAAAAGGTTCAACCTGAATTCTGTCATTGGCATTGACAATGATTTGAAAATGTTGGAATCATTTGCAGATGAAAGATTTCAAAGCACAGGTCTCAGCGATCTAAGGAAAGATTGCAGTTTCCGAGATTGTTTAATAGAATCCAGGCAGTTGGTGAACCTTGTACTAAGCAATCAGCCTGAGAATTTCAAGAATCCTGTAATGAGGGAGAAAAGTTATGGTGCTTTGGACTACAAAAAAGTTGCGATTATCTCTGAAAAATTCAAGGATTCATCAGAAAAGTTATTTGGGAGCCTTTCTAACTGGAGCACAGAGCCAAAATCCCGGAAGAAGTCAATGGACATGTTGAAAAGAAAGCTGAAAGAGTTCAGCTGAATTAACCATTCAGGTCAGTTATCATGGAATTCCCTCGATCTTGTCGTGGCATGGTAGAGCTTTCAAGTGACAAATAGAAAAGTTAGATTACATGATAGCAGATGCAACCAGCAGCATCTCCCAATGTTGACCTCCCATTGTTATGGTGACCAGTAAATTACTGAAGAACAGAGAACAATGAGAACAAGGTCAGTCTGTCACTGTTGCAGAAAACAAGAACAGTCAGATCAATTCAACTTTCCAGGATCAAATTTCAGCTAACAAGCTAGAAATAGAACCCACATCTCTAACCATGGTGACGATGAGGAAATATCATCATTGAATATTGGAGTTTCCATGTTAACATACTATGGGAATTAACATGATTGACAATCAGGGATTGATGATGCGGGTCACTAAGGCCAGCAAACTAATGGCAGTGGTAAAGGTAAGTTTAACGACAAGTGGCTAATAGCATGAGCAATATCCATTAGTAATTGATAATTAAATTTAGAAAGTTATAGATGCTTGCGATTGATGTAGATGAATGAGAAGGGTTCATGATCATGCCTCGCCACCTTTGATGTTATTCCATCGCAAGCTTTGCAGCCAAGGTGCTAGGTGCATGTTCATGATCCTTTTTGGCAATATCTTTTTTTTTTTAAAACTTTTGGTGCTTAGCTTGTACTGGGTGTGCAATAGACTTGTAGTTCCATTTTGTCTGGTTGGCAGTGGATTTTGTTGTGTTTCTGTTTTATAAAACGCTCAAGTGTTCTAGGCTGAGTGACATTGTGTAGAGGGAAACCATCAAAATAACCTTGATTTCATGTGCCATGAGCTGTTTTTGATAATGTTCTTGCAAAAACTATAAGTTAATTTAGTACCTTGGAACACTAGATGATATCGAGCTGGATGGAACATCGATTTTAGATGGTACTTAACGTGTCCGTTATCTTTTTGTTCGATAGTAGTGCTATGTGAAAATTGAGTTTAACACTTAGCTTTCGTGATCATTTAGTTCATTTGCAAGTTCCTTTTGTGCGAAATAAAATCTTTTTTTTTTTGTATTGCTTGCTTGACTTTCTTTTCCTTTATATACGATATGGTGTCATACAATCAGATGTAGATAATGGTCTATTTGCATGATGGGGAAGCGTTGGACTGTGGTTTAGCCTTGAGGATCTTCACCTTTGAAAGCTTAACACGATAGAATGACCAATATGGGTGTTGGAAATACTAGCAATTGCCTTTTTGTGTTTGAGAGAAATGGAATCTTTTAACCATATTTTCTTTCATTTGTATATTTTCCAAAATTATTTGGAATATTTGTGGGCAAAGAATTGGTATTCAGTTCAATTATTTCTCTAATTGGTCAGATGGACAAATGCTCAATCAGAGGGTTTGAACCAACCCGAATTTAATACTGATGGATCTGGAAATAATAGGAGGATAGAAATGGCTCCTTCCTTTTACAAGATAATAATATAATTTTTTAATTTAGATTTTATTATATTAAACTATTGTCTATTGCTCATGAAATAGAGCAATAGATAATAGAAAATAACATCATTTGAATATAATGAATAAGGTATGTAATACCGTATAGTATCGATATTTCGAGGTTGGTTTTCATGAGCAATAGACAACAGAAAATAACATCATTTGAATATAATGAATCAAGGTATGTAATACCGTATCGTATCGATATTTCGAGGTTGGTTTGGTACGGTATCGACGTATCAAGCGGTACACCAGGGCGTATCGAATGATTTTCTCTTACCGTAGCACTATTATACTGTAATACTGTAGCACTGTTACAGTGTATTACTGTAGTATTGTAGCACGGTCTGTTCGGTGGCGGACGGTTCGTGTACCGGTATGTATTGTCCGTACTATCCGTACTATTCGAAATTGCATATCATGTAATGAATAATATAAAATGTAAGTTACTAAATTTTGTTTTGTATTCCTACCTAATCCAGACCGGAAACAATACGAATCGTCTCTATATAAACACCAAAGGGGTCACCGCTCCTATTGAGCGAGTCTTCCATTTAGATTATCCACACCATAGGCTATCGAGAGATCAGTGTATGCCATGGCCATCAACGTTTGGAAGGATAACCTGGTCGAGCAGGTGGACGTCATCCTTCGCCTTCGTGGCTCCTTTCCTTACGTTGCAATCGATACCGAGTTCCCGGGGTTCATTCGCTCCACCCCTCGCCATGCCTCCGAAGAAGAGAGATACGATGACATGAAGTACAACGTCGACCATATGCGACTGATCCAGCTCGGCCTCACCTTATTCGACAAAGATGGCAACACCCCGTGGCCGGGTTGCTGCTGGCAGTTCAATTTTTCGGATTTCGATCCAGATACGGATGCTTGCTCCGAGGACTCCATCGAGTTGCTACTGCACAGCGGCCACAACCTCCAGAAAAACCAACGGGACGGCGTCGATGCATATCGGTGCTCCTATCTGCTGTGCGTGAAGCTCTTCCGCCATCCCCACAAGTCCAAGTATATTACGTTTCATGGACTCTACGACGTGGCTTTTCTGATACAGATGATCACCCGAGCCCCATTACCCAACACCTTGAACGAGTTCCTGGTTTTAACAAGGAGCGTCTTCGGTGATGATCTTTACGATATCAAATACATCTCTAGGTTTTGCGAAGGACTGCACGAGGGAAAGGCTGGTTTGTTGACACTATCAAAGTTGCTGGAATTGGAACCAGTAGGGATCCGTCACCAAGCAGCATATGACAGTCTACTGATCAGGGCAATCTTCAACAAGATGAAACAGCTATGGTTTGATATCGAGGACGAGAGATTTGTATCGGTCCTCTATGGTTTAGAGAACAACTGCATGAAAAGTAAGAAGACGAAGTCGAGTACAGTAGCAGTAGCAGCAAGCAGTCCTCCACAAGTGCAACCATTTCAACCTTATAGAGGTCTTCTGGCTTCACCCTTCCAAGCTCACTGAGCTCCAACCTGGTTGCAGTGTCAACCTTACCAGCATCACCAATTATCTAGCCGCTTTCTTTCCTTTTGAGTTGTATGTTAGGTTTCTTGGTTATAGCTTATGCTTTAGGTTAGATTGTTGGGTTATAGTTTATTTGTCCAAAGGAATTCTACATATAAGTTTCTATTGGTTTCTTAATCTCTATTCATAAGTTTAGTCCCTTCTTTTTAGTGTGGAATTGTTGTCATTTGCTCATTATCTGGTACCTACCAAAACTACAATTTGTTTGGTTGGTAAAATGAATATATGGTTGATCAAATCAAACTATATCCAAAAGATCACATAAATAATGATTATTAGAGAATTATTTATATATAAGAGTTTGTGATTCCTTACATCTATTCTTCATCTCTAATTGTCTGTATATCTTATCATGTATAATCAATTAGTCATTTTTGTAGATTTAATTTTTATGGTTGATTTTGATGACTTAGTCATGCAACACAAACTATATAAGTGAATAGTAATGTTCATATTCTCCTTAGTCATTCACGAAATAGTAATTTGCTCCTCATCGGGATCAAAAAAATATGTTCTTAGATGATATTATTATGGAGGATGATACAACTTTAAACATAAATCATCATACAATATCTACTCGACTCTCTTCTTCCTTTAAAACCCGTAAATTTTCAAATATTTTTTGTGATCCTTCTATCGAACCGAACTTAATTTTTGTGTCTCATTTTTGCAAATAAATAGAACATATGTCAAAATTTTGGCAAGCAACACTACATCCTCTTTTACAGCTCTAATGGTAATCAAAACTTAATCATCCCCCTTGCATATCCCTCTTCAAAGATTTTTGAGTTTGTTACCTTTTATCTTCCAATAACACGAAAGATTTATCTTATGATTCTTGTTTTTGTAATAAAAGCATCCAATTAACTTTTCGATATATTATTTAAGAGTCGCTTTCATTCACATCAACTTACATCGTCCTATGCCAATTATTTTGATAAATAATTTTTTATTATTATGTGATTTTCATTGATCATTTCACACAAGTTTACATCAAATTTCACTATAATTTCCAGTTATTCGATATTACAATCATACAGCAAGCTTGAGCTTCATTTTTGACTATGCATACTGTAGTGCATCCATGATTACCATCATGTAGTTTTAATAATATAAATTAACATTAAGATGAGTAATATTCTAAAATTCTAATAACTATTATATATATAATCCGATATGTCATATTTACAATCATGATTATTAAATATATTAATATTAATATTAATATTTTTCATTAATTAATTCACAATCGTATGCACCATTCTAGTTAGTGGAAATCTTTCAATTATGTTATATTGATGGTACAATATTAGGGTCTTGAAACATCAGTATCAGTAAGATGCTTAAATTCAGATTAATATTAGTACATCTATCATGATTTTTAAATCAATCCAAGTCTTTAAACTTTTGATGCTGGATTAAAATCATCTTTTCTTCTACTTATTTGTATTGTTTGCTGATTAGTTTTGCATTACAGTTTTCTACTTATTTATCTATTTCAGAAGCAAGTCGTAGCTCATAATCAAATCTTAGTACGAAACTGGTTCTATGTTGTGACGTGTCCTTTGATTTTTATGATATCCTAGCTTAATAAAATAATTGACTCTTTGGCTTCGAGCCTGAATCATTAGCCTAAAATACTTAAGCCCTTTATATTTACTAAAAATATAATCTGTCAATTAAGATACCTACCGTAAAGCCTTGCCATTAGGGAGGAACCCATGCATGCATGGAAGAGTAATATGATCCTCCATGGCACATAAGGAATGAAATTAGTGATATATTTTGTTATTTGGGAAATTTTCTGACATTTAGAATCACAAAAGTCTTTTTAGAAGGAACTCAAAGTTTGGAAGAGCCAAACATACGGACAGCTTTTGATCAGTAGAATGGCTTCCTAAAGTATATCTTTTGGTTTTATCTAAGGTAGCTTTTGAAATAATCTTTTTGTCTTTTGGAATAAAGGAATTTACAGATCCCAGACAAATTCATATACTATGGCTATCTTCAAGATTATTTAGTGAAAAAGGACCAATAGGACATAGAAAATACATTTATAGAAATAAATATAACATTGTACACGAATATAGTAAATGATATAAAATGTAAATACATCCTATAAGAATAAGAATAAGATGTAAATAACCCATCAACCTAACCTAAAATCCAACATAGTGGAGGCCAAGATAAGGTGATGATGGCATAGCTACAAACAAATAGTGATTGTGTTAAGCTGCACACTGTAACGAGGTTGGAGTTGGGTGAGTTTCGAAGGGCATAGTTTGGAGATATTTTAAAACTCAAATTTTCATAAAATATAATTTTGGTATTTGTATTAACTATCTTGATGTAAATATGTCCTTTGAGTCATAAAAATAACCCCAATTTATTAATTAAGATATTAATATGATTTTTTTCTTTTTTCAGTTATATTTAATTTTGTATTACTACTCAGTTTACTATATATATATATATATATATATATATATATATATATATATATATATATATATATATATATATATATATCTACTTTCAATTATAATTAATTTTGTATTGCTACTAGGTATACTAAGTCATTCTATGGTCATACTTTGTAAAGGGATAAAACCATTTGAATTTTTGGTAAAAATATCAATCAACTCTTGCTCATAATGACATTTTGCATTAAGAAAATGATTATATCCCTCCCATTTATTTATAATATTTATTTTTATATGAAAATTTATATACTCTATATTTTACCCTAATAAGGCAAAGCTTGGATGTCAAGGAGACGGGGTGGGAGAGTGCTTGCTCTGTCT